CGGAGATGACGATCGCTTTGCGGCATACGTGTTTGATATTGCTTAAAGGGCAACTCCGCTTCAGTTTTGATATTTAGAAAACTATGTAGCCCTCTTCAGTATCATATAGGAAGACCCCACGTCAAATATTACGATCTAATTCCGTTTATTTATTTAATAAACTGGCCAGCAAACCTTCAAGCGAGCCAAGTCGCCGAAATCTGCCAACTCTAGCGTGCGGCGCGAGGCGCAATCATCAGCGCGGTCAATGCCACGCAGTTGGAGCGGCCAACGTTGAGCCACTACGTCAGAGGCCTGATACGTCATTCTCACGTTTTGCTTGTTTTTACTTCTCAGAGCGAAATTGAACGATGACGTCATGAGTTTCTCCTCCCGGTATTGACTGACCGGGCGTTCACGTGATCACCGTCACACGGATGCGCTACTTTGCGCTGCCCTGCGCGCTTATCGGTCTGTTTCTCCGCTCCCCTTCTCTTTCGTCTTCTCCCCTTCCCCCTCTCCCCCAGGCCATCACCGTCCACGCCACGCAAAGCGACCTGCCCGCGTCTAAAAAAAAAAAAAAAACCTGCCCGCGTTGCGTGTCCTGTTTTTCGCTCCCTCCCGAACGTCACAAGACCACGTGGTTCGACGTGACGTGCCATGCCTCTGACGACCCGAGACCGATGTTGCCTGACGCAACCGAAGTTTCGGTTTCGGTATCTGCTGATGTTGAAATTAGGATTACACAAATAATATTCCACATTTCGCGAGTCCGAAGACGTACAGTTGTCTAGTAGTGCTTTCTGAATGTGAATCACATGGAAGCCTAAATTTTTCGGAATTGAGCGGAGTTGCCCTTTAACTGCATCCTACGGCTCGTACAAGTACTTTTAGTTGTCTTCATCGGGTTTATACGGGGTGTTTCACAAAAACGGACAAATTCGATATTGCGATAACTACGCGTCGCAACAGGAAAAGGCTTGTGTCGTTGTGGTCCTGGGCCAGGGGCCTATTTAGGAATTTTTTTCCAAAATATTTATATGGTTAATTATTTTTGCGTAATTAACTTTTTTAAATATTTTGTTTAAGGGCTTGGTTTCAATTAGAAACTTGCTGAGCGTCATTGAAAAAACACTAAATCACTAAATTGCAGAACGATAGAAGGCACGCGCGGCATTTCACGGCTTTCTGAAAAACCACACAACCTTCGACGGGTTTTTAAGTTTCGGTTTGCAATCGGAGCACTTCTCGGTCCCGACGACACCGCGCCCCGCGGAGAAATAGTGCAACCATCCTCTGCTGCATTGCGCAAGGACAACACAGCTATGGTGTACTAGAACTATTCTAGTACACCATGACGCAGCAGAGGTTGGTTGCACTATTTCTCCACGGGGCGCGGTAGCGTCGGGGCCGAGAAGCGCTCCGATTGCAAACCGAAACTTAAAAACCCGTATAGTCGGTTGCAAGCTAAGAAAAAACCGGAAGTGCCTCTCAGAGGAAAATGTAATACTACGCCGAGAAACGCCAGCCAATCGTTTTCATGACACCACGATTCCGTGGACCAATCGCGATCCTTTTGAAAAAAAAAAAGCTCAACATGGCTGATGGCCTTAGCAACGCGACGCTAGTTTCCCGTGACAATTATTCTGCTTTTTTGCACCGTGTTTTACGTGCCCGAGATTACACCACGAAATCTTAATGGTATCGGCTTGCGTTTGCAGCAGTTTTTGCGCGACAACGTGAGAATCCAGCGACGCTACCCCAACGAAAATTTCGAAGCGGGCGCGAGGCTTAGCACTGCTGAGAGGTGAGAAGCTACGCCGGACGTCGTCTGCTTCGTTGGATTGTGCTTCTTGAAGAACCGCTTTGGTGTCGCCGGTAAGGCTGCACCAGGCTGTTTCGTCCAAGAAGAATCAGGGGAATCGCTTTCCGATGTCACCTCAGTGCAAGGAGGTTAGAAGTACTAGGAGGGGGTACGTTGCAGTATTGGTGAAGCCTAGTCATAAAAAGTTTAAACGATTTTGTGCCCAGCGTGACCGCAGATCTGTCTGGCGATTGGTGCGCGTGACATGTCACGTGCGAGATGGATGGTTGATTGTAGGAGGGTTCCTTGCAGGCTTGCGCGCGCTCCGTCTGGTAGGTTTTATCAGATCGAAGGCTAGACGAAGGCTAGCTACGGTCACGTGATGTGGTGAGAGCAAGGAGGAAAATGAGAAAGAGGCGAGGCGTCAAGGGAGCGTGGCTTGTGGAGGCTACGCGGCTGACGTCATGCCCTCTCCTACCCTTCTATTCTCCATGCCTCAGTGGGGTCCATGACGGAAGACAAAGAGAGCGGGGCGCGGTGGTGGTGTCGATGACTTGGGAGGGTGCCGATTTGTCAAAACCCGAAAAGTATAATTATTCTTGTTTTCTATTCATCCAACAAAATAAAGGCACACATTTCGTGCGCAAAGCCCACAAAACTAAGTAAATCACTAAATATTTATAATTTGCAGGAACTATAAAGTTCTTCGCTTTCCCTCAATCGAAGGCGCTGGAAGACGGTATGTTAGACCGTATCTTGGACAGAAAATGAATTGGGAAGACGGTGCATTGGACATGACTTTCTTTCTTTACTAAACAGCTATTTCGTTGGCAAAAACATATTCTAACTAATTTAAATGTCCTGAATGAATTAAATAAATATTGTAGTAGTTTAAGACACGTTTCCTGGAGGAAGAAAAAGCAACGTTGCTAGCGAGCTACTTTCTCGACGGCGGAGGCACTTCAGATGGGCGCAATGCGCTTGTGGGCGGAGCTAAAAGATTGTTCTTAGGTTGCATCTGACTATAGAAGTTTGTGCGGTCTTTCAGAAATCTGTAAAATGCTGCGTGTGCCTTCTATCGTTCTGCAATTTATTGATTTCGTGTTTTTCGATGATGCTCAGCAATCTTCCAATTGAAACCATGGCCTTAAACAGAATATTAAAATCTTAATTACGGAAACATAATTAACAACTTAACTATCCCAAACTTTGATAATTTTCCTAAATGTGCCCCTGGCCCAGAACCAAAACGATACAAGCCTTTTTTTTTTTTTTTTTTTGCGAAGCAGTAGTTTTCGTAATATTGAATATGTCCACTTTTCATAAAACACCCTGTATAACTGTAAGGAAAATAAATTATGTCTTAACGTCAGGGTCACTGTTAATCAAGTAGTGGACAATCCAAATTTTTGTCAAAGCATGATGTTCCGAACAGAGATTCACGCTTTGACATCTTTTTTTTTTTTTTCAGTTGGTTCATAGCGCATAGGAGCAACCGCACCGACGCCCCCCCCCCCCCCCCCCCCCCCCCCTTTATTGATAGCAACTCGTCGGAAGAGCAGGCCGATCCAAAACTCACGCGCGACACACGTTCAAAGCTTTGCCGCGGCGCCGATTCTTGATTGGTATCTAAGCGTGCAAAGGCACCGAGACGCAGCACATCGGCATGCCAAGGAAGCTTTGATCACGCCGCGAGACCGGCGAAACATGCTTTCGACGAGATGTGGCTTTTTTCCTGGGGCCCCACTGCGCTTTTGTAGAAATTCCCTTGCGTTTTCAACTAGGGATGTCGCGAACCGGTCAAGTATCGAGTTCGACCAGGTTCGACTTTTTCGACCTTCTTGTGAAAAGTTCGACAAATGTTCAACTCAGGTTCTACTCCAATGCGCATGCGCGACAGGCTGGCCAGTTGTCTTCGGATTGGATGGTGATGTCTAAAGGATGATTTAAAGAGATACTACAACGAAATTTAGGCGCTTGTTTTTTGGTCCATCTGTGTTCAAAGGAGCAGTATCACACCGGACACACAAATATCTTCTTAAAAAAAGACAAAAAATAATTTTAAAACGAATTAAACGATTAGCAAAGGTGGATGTCGCTAACGCATCGTTTGTAATGCCCGTCTAGGAACCTTGACAGGTGGTGAGGATAACTGTCTCGCCCCTGTCCATCACGAAAGAAGATGGGAAGGAGGAACTCCCCTCTCCACGAGAATCTCTTTTGTGTGTCCCAGAAGTCGCTATTGTCCCTCCACAAGATTATAGAAGATTAACCCGTCACTCAAAATTCATACAAAAGCAGCCTTCAGTGGCTGGAACGACTAGGCCATCCTCTAGACGTCAGCCTCGCCGGAGCCTTGCTCGTCCCGAGACGAACTACGTCACGATTGCGTCGGATGTCACGTGCTCTCCGCTGGCTGCTCTCCGAGCGCTTGCCAGAGTGGGCCGTTTATAACGAGAAATACAGCCATGACGAAAGTAATGCCTAGAGAAGGGGAACAAGAGGGACAAAGGACAAACATAAATCTCCAAACACAGCTAGGTGACTGGTGAGCGTCCGAAAAAATCCGCCTGGTCCGGGTATCGAACTAGGGACCTCTCCATTACAAGTGGAGCGCTCTACCAACTGAGCCAACCAGGGGTTAGACGTCAGTAGAGCAAACTGGTTTTATCAGCTGCCACCAGTCGAACACCAATAAGGGTGAAGCTTGCAATTTAAAGTTATTATTATAATGCAATTAAATGCAAAGGTGCAAGCGAGCTGGACAAGAATGACGAAAGTAATCCCTGGAGAAGGGGAACAAGGGGGACAAAGGACAAACATAAATCGCTCACCAGTCACCTAGCTGTGTTTGGGGATTTATGTTTGTCCTTTGTCCCCCTTGTTCCCCTTCTCCAGGGATTACTTTCGTCATTCTTGTCCAGCTCGCTTGCACCTTAGCATTTAAATGCATCATAATTATAAATTTAAATTGCAAGCTTCACCCTTGTTGGTGTTCGACACATGTTCGCGACATCCCTATTCTCAACGGCAAGTCTCACGGCTTACACAGGGTTTTAAAAAACGTCTTCGGCGAATGACGACGAACGAGTAGAAAACGTCTCTTCACCACGCTGCCGCTGCCGTCAGCCTCTGCAACGCTAGCGAAAACGCGATTTCGCTCTATGAAAGATGGCCGTCCGGTGGCCGCCGTGGCCGTACTTTGGTTAAAGACGTAAAACTATAAGGTCACATGTACAGAGGTCAAAAATATGCAACATCGCGGCGGCCGGATGGGGGGTCACTTTCAGCTGCCAATGTATCGCTCTAAGCCCCTCACCTTGCTGGGTGTATCGTGCATATCCGTCCTAAACAACTTGTTGCTAGCGCCCCCAGCGTTCGTATTGTTTTAGCCTTATTAATTTTGAACGGCCCTCAGCGGCCGACAGATTCTGCGGTCCTCTGGAATTCGTAGTTTCGGCTGCGCGCATCTGCGGCCAATCTTTGGACATAAAAATGTTTTAAATTAGAACCGAATGAAACCTTACCGTGGAAACATTTTGAAGTCTTTTAAACCACCGTGCAGTCGCTCGAACTCTGCTCACAAGCGACCGTTATGTCTCCAGGAAGCTGACGTCGACGAAAGGTTGATGTTTTGGAGCGATTGCTGAAGCAGCGGTATGTGCCCTTCGGGCGTCGACTTTCGACAACATAACTTTGCGTTTTTACGCGCTCCCTCGCGATCTACCGTCATTTATTTATGGCTCAAATGCCCGTAGCGCTGTTGCCGTTACGCTAACCTGCCAAACTGCGGAATCCGCCGCGCGAACGAGCGTGTTTTCTTTTTTCTTTTAGCGTCATATTTTTTGCGACAACTGTCGCTGAATCTTGGCTTCTGTACACGTACCACGTTACAGGGGAGCTTGGTCTATCGCCTTGCCCTCATCATGAAGATCAACGACAAGAACCTAGTCACCTTCGCGCTGAGCAACACCCCCGTGGACCGAGAAGGCTGGCTCATGAAGCGGGGCGAAGTGAACCGGTCCTTCCAAAAGCGCTGGTTCCTGCTCAAGGGCAACCTGCTCTTCTACTTCGAGAAGAAGACGGACCGCGAACCCGTCGGCGTCGTCATCCTCGAAGGCTGCACCGTCGAACTGGCCGAAAACGAAGAGCTGTTCGCCTTCAAGGTGGGTTCAAGCGCCGCCCGCTCCGCGCGCCTCAGCAGTAGCTTCTGCCTGCGTTTGCCACTTCACTTCGATCAAATGCGGCGTAGTACAGCGGTTTTCGAACATGGGGAGCATATCCACTGTGTGGGAGGTTCTTGTAGTTGGGAGTGACCTCAAGTGACTCTATGCGAGCTACTCGTTCGGCCCTAATGAGATGTATCCTAGTCCACAGCAAGTCGCAAGGAATTCCTGCAAATCGCGTTGTTACTGCGTCATATCGGGCAGTACAGCATGTAAACGGGTACCGGACATTTCATCGAACGCAGTTTCATCGATTTTTCCTTTAGAGAATTTGGAAGTATTACAATACATGTTACATAATTTGATATCGCTTTTGAAATAGTTTTGACGCGGCTCTAAGTTCACCAGAAATCGAATTACTCCACCGGTAAATTTGTTTTCCACCTACACGTTGGTTACTGAATCAGAGAAGGTAACTATCATATCAGAACTTGAATGGATATGCGACTTATTATTTTCTGGCGAGGTAAGTGGCTGTTCTCGACCACACACTTTTTCCCACTTCATCCCTCCGTTAACGCGTGAAAGGCGCTCTCTGAAAAGGGAATCAGCTATTCTTCGCGGTACCTTTTTTATTTTGTATTTGACCTTTTTACCCGTGTTTTCATTCTATCCTAGGAGAATAGCTTCCTTTTTAAGAACATATCCTGTACGTAAAAAGTCCGGCAGGTCCACAGTTCAGTCGGTTACAATAAATTAACAAAGAGGGGAGACAGGTCTTTTTTTTTTTTTCTTTCTATCGTGCGACATTGGGACAGACCATTGCTTCAAGAAAGCGTCTTCATCTTGAAGCAGAATATGCCTCTTCAGTGACGAAGATACGCCCTTGAATGGACGGAAGTTCATCACTGCACTTATTGTTCACAGGTGTAAAAAGTGTTTGTCAGTGTTCCCATTTTTCATTGGCTACATTAACAACAGAAGTCATCATTTACTAGAAAAAAAAAAAAAAAGAATAGAAATAGAAGGAAAAAAGAAGAAAGTTTCTTCCTTTTAAAATTTATGAGTTAACAAATTTACTTTTTTCAGTGACCGCTGGGAGTATGCACCAACCCTGAGAGAGGGGAGTAAAGGGGAAGGCACCACTTTGGGGGGCACTGTCGTCCGATCAGTCACTCGGACAATGCTGGTTCGGTTTGACCCTCTCTGCTATTCTTGCGGTGTGGCTTCATAGTCGTCGTGCCTTACCGCTGCGCAGCTGTAGGTAGCACAAATAGCAGCAAAATTGGTTAAAATGCAAGGTTTTATAAAGTTCCAGCAGCCTTTTGCGGGTGGTGCACGAAAGCACCCGGTGTCGAACGGCCTTTTTGCTCCGCTTTTGAAAGCCCCGGTTTCAGAAGCCCATGACGCGAATCCCCGGTGTCAGCTGGCCGGGTCCTCAACGTGACAGTGGGACATCCTGCTTTTAACTAGAAGACAGTAAGGTACACGCGCGGTTGTGTAACTTAATCATGCCGTACTCAAGTAAAGAACAACTGGTTAAAGCTTTCCGTTCTTCAGGCGCACGCTATACACATTTACGTCTTGTCACGTTAAAGGTGAAAGAAAAAGAAAACAAGAAACATCAGTCACTGGCAAAACATTTGAGGCGTGCGAAATGGATTCAAGCCTTACGGTGAGAGAAGCCTGATGGAACACCTTGGCAACCAACCGTAAACTCCCCTGTTCGCCGGGTCCACTTCATCGGAGGTTCGTAGACGTGCTGAATTCAAAGAGAGGTTGTTTCTAACATACAGTTCCTTATTTTTTGACGATGCAGGCGAACCTTCTCGATATCAGGACTGTTCGGATTTTACCCCCTCCGAGTTTGTTTGCACGGCCCCGGGTATGGCGATGCCCCGTGCGCTCGCGCAATACAGAGGATGGCAAAGTGACGGAACACAATAAGCTTGAATAAATTAGGCGCTCAAGGAGAGCGTAGTTAGTTGTTTGTAGTGGCTTGGCCTCATAAATGGAGCTCACAAACTCCGCACAAGGTGGATAGTTGGGTCGGGATCAAAACTGGTCACCATTACTTACATAACACTGCCTTGAAAGCCGACCCCTTTTTTCAGTTACTTGCTCGACGCGACACCCAAGTGACGATTGAGTTTCAAGGTATAAAGACGAACGAGGTCATCTGTATCGTAGACAGTGGCTTTCATGAATCCTTCAGGGTCGTCCTCAGCCATTCAAAAAAAAAAAAAAAAAAAGATACACGCAAAGCGACAACAGAAAGACATGTTCATAATGGCGAAAGATGGAACGCCACCAGAGAACACACTTAAACACACGGATCGACAGACACGCCAGGTCTTGGTGTGGATGATGGAGCTCCCCAAGAAAAGTTTTGAGCGATTCCCACAAGGGTGAGCCACGATTGTGGCCAAACTCTGAGAAAGGCCCATTATATTGAATAACAGTGTTCTCCTTGTGGTGTTAAAAAAAAAAAACTATTTCCTAGGTGTAGAATTCCATCTGCTCAAGTAGGCGGTGTTCGATGAAACGGCTTTGATGAAATGGCATTCTATGAAACGGCTTCAATGAAACAGTGTGTGATGAAATGTCTAGACCCACATGTAAACTAATGCAAAAATCGGCTTCTCAACGTATTGCGCTACGATTTGCTACAAGGTACAAACAGGTGGTGTAAGTTTACAGTGAAAAAATGAAGGGATATGCTTGCACATATTTTAAAAAGCCATATTCGACAGACTTACCTCATTTAAAAGAAGAAGAAAACATCCTGTTCTGGGCAATCTATGCCGCCACTTAGCAGGCAATGCACGAGTAGTGAGCTGGCAGACGATCCCGTAAAAGAACCCAAATCGGCCAGCGCTCCCTCGACGCAGCGTACGCCGTCTGTCGGCAGCACTTCTCTCTAGGCGTGCATCGTCTGGGAAGAAGTTTATTTTCTGATGTTTTCACCGTAAACTTACACCACCTGCTTGCACCTCTGTAGCAAATTGCAGCGCGATACGTTGAAAAACCGATTTTTGCGGGCCGTCTAAAGTGCCCTAAAAGCGTTAGTTTTCATGCTGTAGTTGCCATCCTGGAAAATATTGAAGTCGCTGCTCATTAGGCAGTGCAATGTTAGTTAGCCACAATGGGTGTCTGGCATCTCCATTACAGATGAGAGATCTTGCCACTACCACTGCCATTGCGGGGTCTGAACATGCATCACGCTGTAGTGATACACGACCTCACGCCGGTGCGATGCTCGTCCAGATTGAAATCGGCAGGAGTGGGGAGAATAGAGCCCAGGATTCCTGGGCTCTGGAGCACGAGCTTTCTCTCCACATGCTCCAATCTGCTGCGTGCCAACACACTTGGCCGTCAATCCCCCTCGTTGGATGCTCAAAGTGCAGCATTGCATCATCTTGGGGAATGTCTTTTGCATAAATGCTCAGATAACTGGAGTATGTCGTGCCTGTACTCGCCCAGAGTATTCCGGTTGTATCTTTAATAAGAAGGCTCCGCAGGTATCGAAGGTTGGTTTATCATGCTGGCAATGCGGCGATTATTGTTTTTCCACTACTTTCGTTGTTTCACTTTTAGCAACTTTTTTCACATTCTGGAAGATATGGCAAGGGCTCTCCTGACTCGATTTCTGTTGAGGCTAGGTTTGATTTCCTTTAGTGAGTGATGCGGAAGCTTCCGGCGGACACCTAGTGTCAAGCTGTTGTGGGAAAATTCTAGAAATTATATTGTGCAGCGTTTTTCACGCAATAGTGCACAGTGTTATTTCTATGACTTTGCCCCAGAAATTACTTATTAAATACTATCCATTGCCTATATCTGTACAGCAGTGCTTGCAATTGGGCTGGTAATCATTCTCCGATCAGACTGCGCTGCTAGGGTTGTAACCTGAAACGACGCCGAGACTAGGTTGAAAGCGTGACATACGCGAGTAAGCACTACATTCATACTTCACGCCATCTTTGGGCACAAGATACAAGTAGATTTTAATTGCTTAGTTCTCCATCTTGCAGCAGGTCGAGACTCGTCGCCGTGGACTGTCAGGAATGCGGTCATTTAACCCCTTGCCTACTCATGTTTTTTTCTTTAAAGATCGTACAGAAAGCTTTATTTAAATCAAGCAATTTGCGTCAAAATAAAGAAAAACGTTTCCTTGGCTTTCAGGCGTAGTCTCGTGCTCTATACCAGGACCTCTGGTCGTCTCCTCTTCTTCAGTAGTTCTTCACAGTATGATAGAAATCGAGAGATTAGCAGAAACCTCACATAGGACATTGTTTTGCCGAAAATTGGGGTCTCCACTATGGACCTCTTGGACCAGTTCCTTTTGACTGTGTGTTTTTTCACTTGCGTCAGAATGATGCACAAGGCAAAGTATGCCTTTATCTCATCCGGAATGGTGTCAAACCATTGCTCCTCATAGCATTTCTTGGGACGATCCTCATCGCCCATCTCTTGTTCGGCGTAGCGATTTGTCTCAGCAGAGGCAGACGCCCAAAAATCATGACTTGCAAGCACGGAAAAGGTCGACAAGGCGCTTGTCTTCTCACCAAGACTGCATTGAACCCTTGCTGACACACCTGGGGTTTCTACAAAGGTGAACTGAGCAGGCTGGTTGTCCCTCTTCTCCCAGTTCCACTGACGTGCAGACGCGGAAGTCGATGAAATGCTTCCAGGATTCGCATCGTTTTCAACACTTTTCTCACAGTCCGTTGAACTCTCATCGGATTCCGAGTAATCGGAAAGGCAGCAGGATTCGTCGTCAGAAATAGTGGCGCATTCATCACTTTCAAAAAGAAGTCTTTGTATATCTTCGTCCGCCAAAGCAGACCTCCGCGCCGAAGACATGTTTTTGGCGCGCTTGCTTACAATAGTGCGCTTATTTTTTGTCAATGGAGCGCCCTCTCTCTGTCAAAAGGCAAAGCAAACAAGAAAAGAACCCAAGGTAAACAGGAGCAACAGGGGTAGTGCTGCCATCTGCCGCAGAGCTCACAAAACAAGCTCTGAAACCGAAACACGAGTCACACTCGTGGTCGGGTTTTATGGTCCGTAAATGGCGGCACGAGTGACACTCGTTATTAGGGGTTAACACTTAAAAAGTGGCACAAAAACAATAAAGAAAAAAGGTCAAATCAGTGTTCTTGTTTGCCAATGCAGCGATATCTCGTCCATATGGACACCTCTGTTCTCCGGACAAATAATCCATAATGCGAACCGTCCGTGACAGCGAGACAGAGACGCACCTAATTGCCCAGTTCGTCCCCGAAAAGCTTGCCCACACAGCAAGGTATCCATGTTATTGAGCCGATATTAATGAGACCCGACCGTTGCTCCCCAGGTGGTGTTCCACGGCTCGGGCCACCGGATGTACATGCTTTCGGCTGAGTCGCAGGAGTGCATGGAGGGCTGGATGAAGGCCCTGGCCTGCGCCTCGTACGACTACATGAAGCTCATGGTGGCCGAGCTGCAGCGCCAGCTCAGCGAGGTGGCCGAGGCCGAGCGGCTTGCCAAGTGCGGCAACACCACGCCGCTGCTCGTCGGGGGCCAGCTGCCGGCCAACCGGTCGGACAGCTGCCTGTGCGTGCGCGACACCTCGGGCCGCACCGCCCGCTTCAACCCCTTCGATCGCTGGAAGGAGGACTTTGCCGCCGGCAGCGAGGGGGCGGCGCCGCCGGTCGCGTCGGCATCACCACGCGCCGTGGCGTCGGCCAAGTACACATTTGCCGAGCTGCACCGGCAGTACGGGACGAGGGTGAGAAAGCTCATCGAGGAGAGGAGGCGGAGGGAGGAGAAGGAGCGGGGACTCGAACTGCTCATCGACCTCTGAAGAAGGGAGCAGAGCTCATCGATGCGGCGCCGTGTGGATTCCGTTTCTTCGACGTGGGCCGCGACACCGGAGGTGTTGCGCTGTGCGGGTAATCTCGTGCATTTCCGGAGCGTTTAGGAACAGTGCGTAGCATGCGATGGCCGGAACGAGACTGGACGTGTTGTACTGACCTGAAAACTAATGTGTGCTGCTCAACGTTGCTGGTCGGCCCATTAGTCTGCCTTGCATCGCTTGTTTAGGGAGTTGTTACAACTCGGACTGAGGATTTGTGGCAATGCCATCCAGACACGAGACAAGTTCAGGTAGTTTCCTTTGCAGGTCTCGCGTGCCATTAACGGAGCATAGTGGTGCCCCCTTCATCTTGTGGTCCGAGTACCAGTTGACCCGCAATTATGACGCATTTCTAAAACTGTTTTTCTACCAGTGCAGAATTACAGGGAAAAAAATGTTTTATCTTCATCTGCTGCACTCAGCTTAGGATTGTCACTCTGTTGTAGCACAGCAGCATCACACCGTGCCATGTATTCCTGTATGGTGCAGTGTGGGCGGAAAGTTTGAGGGTGCTAATGGTATGCAAGTGCTTGTGCAAATGAAGTGCTTTCGACGGGTACACAAACCCAGCCATATTCCCTGCTGTAAATAATAGTACTGCGAGATCGTCCAGACAGAAAAGGCTAGTCTTGCCATAGGTTGCGTTCCATCACGTTTTTACCACCGGTGATCTTGCACCGATATCAATAAATGTACAAATTTCCCGTGTTGAAAGTATGATCCCGCGAAATCCATCTTCGGTCTAAGTCAAATTCGTAAGTCCCAGCGTGTCAGCTTTACTATTCGTTCTTTCTCGCGAGGGTCGAAACGTGGTGCCATTGTGCAAATAGGCACCAAACCCTTCCGGTTCTGAACTTGACGGGAGGTTTCCCAGTATTTGCATAATCAAATATTCACGCTATCTTCAGGAAATGGCCACTCGTAGCTCTATCAGACTTGATTTACTCTTACGATAAAAGGATGACGAGTAAAACAAATTGGGAAACATGTGAACCGGAAGTGTGCCGGGGCTAACCAAGTTTGTTGCCAAACAAAAAAGGGTGAGTAGACCTCCACAGGCACGCTTTCTCGATGCCCCTGCCTTGTTCCGCTTCATTTGCACCAAGCTAGGGAGCGCAGCTACATCTGCGACCGTGAGCCCCCTTGCTGCGAAGTGTGCCTCTGGTTTGTAGACATCCATGCAGCGAGGGCAATCTTGCAAAGCCAAAAGTCTGGTCTCGAGTCCCAACCCGTGTGCAGTGCATAGGGCAGCGTGTGGTGGATAGCGCTACTTCTACTGTTGTGTGTTGTGCATGGTCTTGTGGAAGTACAGAGAGAGTTCGAAATATGGGAGCACTTTTACTGGGCACCCTCTAATGCTCAAGGTGAAGCTAGTGCCTGGGAAGTATGTTTGAGCAGATTGAAAACGAGAGACAGGAGAATTGTCACAGTTGCACATTTTTACACGGCAAGGAACGTCTACAAATGTTTTAATATATGAACAATGGTGTAAAAAACATACATTGTTGGCGAGGAATGATGGGGTGAAACTGCCGATGGCAGCAGATTCCCGAGGTACAACTGTTTTGCACATCTGCAAATGCACCTGCCAAATGTTGATGGAAATAAAAAAAAACAAAAAACCTTCACTTTTTTTCCCAACCAAGCCGCAGAAGCACTTTAAAATAAAAAAAACCGGGACTCCAATTTTACGACGGTGTGCCCAACATCCACACGGGATATGAATATGGAGGTTGGTAATCAAGGTGTTTAGTATACATCTAAACCACCAAGCAGCACAGTCTAGAAACACGTGCAGCACATCCAAAGAGACCAAGTCCCCCGTCGGTACATGTTCAAACTACAATTCGCTACGGATATGTGTAAAACAGAAAAACAAGATGGCCTGTCACAATGTCAAAATCTATCCAATTCATACTCTCAAGTCCACCTTAAAGGTGTGTGGAATAAACCACAAAACGCTGCTGTGGAGTAAACACATCATGTACCATGACAATCGACGAAATGCTTTGCATTCAGAAAAAGTTGCTCGACCACAAATAACTTTCCGAAAAAAACTTCTAAAATCCAAGAACAAACCCAGCCAGCCATATTTTGAGTACACTAGCAATATGAAGAGGAAATGAACAAAATTCTGACATCACTGAACAAAAAGCCTTGCAATAGACCTTTTGTTGAGTGTGCGCAACAAAATTGTGACATCACTTCAAAGAAAATGTAGCAAACATGTCGGTGAGTCGTACAGTCGGCGTGATGTTGGACACCCGGCTCCACTGCTGCAGCAGGACCCTTGTGCCGTGCACATTCACATACATCTTGTAAGGATCACAGCCACCAAAAACCACGGTGGGCCTTCTACGAGCAGACTTCGGTCCCCAGCACCGTCTGGGGTCGAGGCCCGAGGAAGGGACCTCGATAGTCAAGAAAGCGGGACCTGTTGTCACCTCTCGTTCACGGAGGCCGAGGCAGACGGTCTCCCTCAGCAGACGGTCCGACGAGACAAACTGTTCCGCTCTCCAGGAGGGAGAATCACGCAGAGTCCACAGGTCTTGATTTTGTAGACTACCCGAGATGCATCTGGGGTGTGGAGAACTGGACAGGGACTCTTTAGGATGCACTTGCTGAAGAGGATCAGTTTCCAATGTAGCCTGCTTTTCCTGCACTACATCTGCATGCTCCATAGGCTGTTCATCAGGCTCGGTTGGAAGCCCTTTGAGTTGTTCAGGTTTCTTCGAAGCTCTTACACTTTTTGCTGCCTTTTGTTGCATTTTGGCTAGAGAAGGCTCTTGGTTCTCATTAGACAGAGTCCCCAAAGCAGATGCTGCTGGAAGTTCCAGGTCCTTATCAGCTGCTGTTCTCTGCTTCTTGCCTCTTGTTTTCACTTCTAGTTCTTTCCTAGGTGGAGATGACACTTCAAGGCCTGCGTCGACGTTGCTCCGACGCTTTCTTGGCACCGCTCGACCGGATGTGACCTGTGGTTGTTCTTCAAGTGTTAACTGTTTTTTTGCTCTGACTGCCTGCTTCTTAGGTGAAGCCTTTGTTTTGCGTTTATTAAGTGGTTCCTCATCATCAGAGAGAAAGTCTGGCTGGACGGTGCTGTTTGCAACAGCGGGCACATCTGAAGCTGACCTGGATGCATGTTCTGTTGATGTGCCCCGTTTTAGCAAAACAGATGGTAGTTTCTCTAATGCAAGCTGTTTCTGCACTTTCGTCAGCATGTTACTTGCAGAAGATTGCTTCTTTCTACGTTTTGCTAAGGGAGCATCCTCATCCGAAAAGACTTCTGCCTGGGCATCAGTTCCAGCAATTTCAGGAAGCAAGGCTTCTTCCGTGGTTACACGTTTTCCTGATGTACCCTTTTTGGGAGAAATAGGTAATTGCTTGGCCTTGGGTGGTTGCTTGGCTCTGGGCAGTGGCCTGGTTTTGTGTATGACCAGAGGAACATCACTTCCTGAAAGAATGCCTGGTTCATTACCATTGGTGGGGGCCTTGGCTGTCATTTGTTCCACAGCTGGTGTAGCAACTCGTTTTCTCGGAGTACCCTTTTTGGGCGATGCAGATGTTTGATCTTCAAGTGCACCTTGGCTCTGCACTTTGGTCAATCGCTTACCCCTGGGTGATGCCTTTGTTTTGCATTCAATCAGAGGATTGTCACCATCCGAAAAGATTTCTGGTTTCACAATGACAGATGCTTCAGGGGGAACAGCAGCTTCCTCCACGATTAATTTACTTGCACGCTTTCTCGGGGTCACTTGCTTTGGCAATGCAGGCACTTCATCGTCAACCATGAGCTTTCTTTGTGCTTTGGTCAAATGCTGTTTCCCGGGAGATACCTTGTACGTCTGCCCAGCTGGATTGCCGTTGCCGTTCGGTACAGCTTCTGCATGATGGTTCTGGTCAACTGTTAAAAGTTCTGCCGCGGCGGCTTCTGCAGCCGGTTTTTGGGGTCCGGTCTGCTTACGTTCAGGGGAACGTTTCTCGGTGCCGTCCGCCAACCTCTGCGGAGCATTTCTCTGACGGCCGGTCCTACGTGGCGTTCCGGGCACTTCAGGTACTGGACCGCTCGACATTTTGGATTCCTTCACCTCACCCGATTCCTGACTCCCGACCATGGACTTGACTGGACTATCAAGCTGCGTCACTTTCACGGTCTCGGCTACGACTGTACCACCGGCTTTTTCGGAAGAGGTGGCGGCGGCTTCCGAGCATTCGTTTTTCTCTTCACCGTTGTTGTCGTTACCAGATGGTGGAAGCGGCACGCGATCTTCATTTTCGTCTTTTGTGGCACAGTCATCTTGAATGGTACCCTCGTCAGCGCTAGCCTCATCGGCGACGATGTAGTCGTCGTAGTCTATCTCCGAAGACCGTGGCTCGGGATCGACGCCGGGGTTGCGCAAATCGTCCTCTTCTAAAGCGTGCGCACCACAACCCGACGATGCGATCGATTCCGTTTTCTTGTCGCACGTTGAATCTCTGTCAGACTCTTCAACGGGGGCTTGCGGCGTTTCCACGGGCGCAGGAACAGCGCTCCGACTCGTCGCGTTGAGTTCCAACAAGATGTCCTCAATCGTCTCGCCGCGGTCATACGGCCGCGCTGAGCGATCAGCGATCACATCGGCAGTCGAGCTCGCCTCGTCGGCATGTCGACCCGCCACACAGCCATTACCGGCACCGGCGATCGGAGAGTTTTCGGTGACGTTCGCTGAACCACCGACTGTGTCGCGCTTTTCCATCTTTAGAAGCAAGGTTGCGTCGAAGCAAGCGAGGAGCGTAGGTTTTTGCCGTAGTTGACTTACTTTTTAGTGCGAAGTTTGAAGGTACAGCTAACCATCGCTGCTTCCGAGATGCTAGCGCTACAAATCGGGATGGGAGTAGCGATCAACACGACGAAGTGTTTCCTGCGAGCAGCAGAGCCGCAGAACTTGATCCAAAGGCGCTCCGCAGTGCGAGACGCAAAAGCTACGGGTGGTAAAAGTTCATACGCAGCAATCATTCAACGAGACAAAGCACGAAGCAATGACCACTAGGCCTGCGCTCTTGAAAGTGTTTTCCCCCTTTTTTTATCTTTTCCTGAAGCCGGCTTTTGTGGCCGGCTTCTGCATATTTCACCTCAAGGTGGCGCGCGCGTCAATATAGGTGTGTGTGACGTCATCACTTTGTTTTGCCGGGAGATATGAACTCTAATTCCACTTAAACTCTGATCTAATTTATATAAAAAAAAAAAAAAAAAAAAAAAAACATTGCCGGATTGCCAGGAATGTTTGCTCTAACCAAGAACTATTTTCATTGAAACCTTCCCACCTGGCACATTCGTCGGGCATGTAATCTTACCAAAAGTAAAGCCACCTGCCAGTCCTGAATCCACCTTTTTCAATGGACCTCTTGGCGAATATGTGCTGCCACCTAGACACGCGACTGGGGTCGAGGCTAAGTGTCGAAAAAACAACGCGCGCGCGAGGCCTCTCCCACCCGTTGCACACCCAAAACGTCAGCGACATCCTGTTCACCCATTGAGGCGCTGTGACCTAGATACGGCTCCCCCAAACTCGCCTTTGTCCCCATCGTGCGTAATCTTCCGCCCCGAAGTCGACACAACGAAACCATCTTCCCTCTCTGCTCGGCCAGAAGGAAGAGAGAGAGGGTACTGGAACCAGTTACTCTCGAACCGATGTTTCTGCAAAAGGTCCATTATCTGTTGCCACTATTGGCAGTATGCGCGAACTACAGAAGGTGCTTCTCTAGCTATCATCATCATCGTTTGTGACGTCACTGGTAGGACAAACTGGGACAGACCGCGCAGTTCTTGGATCCCTTGGCTCAACAGCTCGCTTCATGCGCTCTTTGGGCAATGCGAGGCAAAGCAGCTCTTTCACATGTTGTGTTAATTCGGTGCAGTGATATTTCTAAGACATTTTACCAAAGCTTGAAACCGTGGCACGCGTAGGCGTGCTAACAAACACTTTTGGCGCTGAGGTGTCGAATCGCTGGGGATCGTGGAGGTGGACATTTTACCAAAGCTTGAAACTGTGGCACGTGTAGTCGTGCTAACAAGCACTTTTGGCACTGAGGTGTTGAAGCACTAAGATGATGGTTCTCTACCCCGGTACAAGCTGGATGACAAAAATAGAGAATATTCAGCGCTTTATTCAGCTACAACATCTACCACGGCGAATAGGGTGTATTTTTTATTATGATTCGGACAAAATAAAACTGAGAAAGTAATGTCTCATCAAATTGAAAAGAAAGCGAAATTCGAGAACCTCTCACATGTGCAGTACACACTTGAGCAGCGATTTCCCTACACATCCCCCCCCCCCCTTGTTTTTCTGAAGGCTACCCCTTAATTTGCAACGACTCCTCTATTCTCAACTCTCCCCTCCCCCCCCCCCCTCCCCCCCCCCCTCCCTCCCTAAAAATTTAGACACCCCCCTTGATTTCAATTCCTGGGGAAACCCCTGCACTTCAATGAAAGCGACTCTGTGTATCCCGTTGGTTGCAATGGGTTCTGTGAGTGACGGTCTGTTATTAGTTCCAAGTTGATTCCTTTTTGAATTTTGTAAACCAGTAAACAAACATCCTCAATATAACTGGCAGGAAGAAGAGGTGGCTGGCTTCCAGTTTCGTTTCAATTAAATCCCGCCTTATTCACCGGGTCGACGCGAAACACGCGAGACCCTCTCGCGATCGAAGTCTTAAATCTAGTAAGTCGGTGACACTTCAGCATACCAAAAAAGAAAGTATACACCTGTAAATTACCATTGTTTGTATGTTTAATTTTGTGGACCCAGATGCGCATAATGCGTGATGTGCTTCTCGGCGAACGTGTAAACAGTTCTCAGTAAATATTGTATAGAACAAATGAATCGATTGCCTGAATTTGCCAGGCTATATCCAACAATTTAAGAAGTTATGAAACTTTCTGCTTTTCTTTCAAGCAGAGGTTGCGATGTGACAAACTTCTTTGCCACGTATTCAATGGAGGAGGAGCTAAGCGTCAGCTGCTGACAAGCATTTGCTCGTGAGCAACTGTCAAGTCGCACTTGGATAGAAGAGTCGGTATAGCAAGCTTAATGTAGCTAAAACAAATGAGCGGCGCTTTGCGACACAACTGTGCGTGCATACACAGCTAAGACACTACGTCATTTACTCTGGTGAATGCAGAACTTTTCTACAGCAGCCTCCACAGATAAAAAAAAAATAAAAAAAATTAGTGAGGCGGTGAATAGCTTTGACACATGCCCCTGGGCATACCGACTGGGGGGGCAAAGAGGGTGCTTACCCCCCCCCCCCCCCCCCCCCCCCCCCCCCCCCCAGTTCTCAGAGTGGGGGGGCAAGGCATGTATTTTTGCCCCCCTTGAAACAGCCGCCACTGGGCAGGGCAAACAGTGGTTGGCGGCGCCCAACGATACCAAGGGTACCGTCCCCCGGTCTGGGGGGGGGGGGGTCTGGTTTGCCGCCCCACTCAAAAACAAGTTGGTATGCCACTGCACATGCCGCACAAGCTGTAATGTGAAGCTCCGCGCTTGTTTTTGAACATTCTAAAGCTTTTTAATATAAAAAAGCATCCTCAAGATGTTTTTATTCATCAGAAAGACCATTCACAGAAATGCCATAAACGTTTCTTTAATAAATAAACTATTTTTAACCGGCATAGATGCAAACTAACATAGCCACTCCGTGCTTTGACATAGCGCGTCGTCTGTTTGCACCCTACCATCTCCGTCACAGGAGGACGCCCGCGATGTGGCGCCACAAAAACATCTTGCCGCCAATACTCGTTTACACCTCAAGAACTGTAGTAAAAATGTCTGGCCCCTTGCGGGGCATTACTAATTTCCCTCTTTATGTAGAGAATTAAGATATATGTAGGTGTATATTAGATTAGATATCTGTTGTCCTATCAAGACGTACACATTTCAAATGCCAAAAGCATCATTTGTTCCTTCGACAACCATATCATTTAAGAGCTAGGTACTTCGTGTGGCGTATGAACAGTGCACAAAACTCTCATTTAATTCTTGAGGCGAAAACAAGTATAGACATGCGACTGGGTTCGAGACTAAGTGGCAAGAAAACAATGCGTGCGCAAGGCCCGTCCCACCCGTTTCATCCCGTTTGCCCGTTGAGCTGCTGCAAGGCCTAGATATGGCTCCCTCAAACTTTGGTTTTGTCTACCATCGTAGGTTGTCTTCGGTCCCGAAGTTGAGACAAAGAAACCATCTTCCCTCTCTTCAGCGAGAAGGAAGAGAAAGGGTACTACATCCATTTGCCCTCAAACCGATATTTCTGGAAAAGAACCATTATACTCTGTTCACCAGCCTGAGACTAGAAGCTCCACCTTTGACGCAAGCTTTCTGCCCTTGCTAACACAAGTGTGAATGCACAGGCAAGAGCACACAAAGCACTGCAAAAGCCAGCAAGCTTGTGCTGAAAGTGGAGCTTCTAGTCTCAGTGAATGGAGTATATAATGGAATCATTTTGGAAGACAGAGGCATGAGAATTAAGTCAGTCAGTCCATCACCACGGACGGCCTCATAGTTTTTGTTCCATTCAGCTCAGGGCTGGACGATAGTGTATTTGAAACTACACTCGTGGATCTCGTTGCTTGACTCTTGCAAAGAAAGCAGAAATAACTTGCCTTTCGTGTGGGGCATTTTGCTTGAGAACATTTTAATTTTTGTTGTCACAGAGCAGAAGGGTGACGGGATAAAAGCTGTGAGCGATTGCACCAAAGAGTACCCATGTTCCGAGCTTGCAAGCACTGTCAAGTTATGACCAGCATGAAGCGTTATAAAGTGTGCACAGTTACAACTCTTACCATACAATTCCGAGAGATGCCCCATCCCCAAAAGACAACCCATCCCTATGTTTGGCTTGATTTGCTATTTTTCGTAAACACCGAAAGATAGCCTACTTCTAGTAATCGTAGTGTTCACTGGGAAGTGACCCTCACCGCGTTAATAAGTTTGGCTGGGACACATTTTACATCTGCAGTAAAGATACAACCAAAGTGCACTCATGCTTCAGGGGGGCTTCTAGTTAATCAGTGTATATATAACGAAGCTGCACACTTACCGGTACCTATTTTAGACAGGTACAGACCCAGTCCAGTGAACAAAATTGGTGCAAACATAACCTCGAAAAGCAGACAGTGCACATATCAGACATCGTAAAGGTGCTTAATAGAATTCTGACTGGCATTTCTGCATTTGGATGGATGCAGTAGTATTTACAGAAGGATTTTATAGCAAGCTCCAGTGCTTTGCGAGATAGGACATTGTTCCTTTGTCTTGAGTAGGCTAATATTTACATATGGTAAGCCTTGCACCAAATGTAATCTTTAGTCACTAGACGTTTTTTACAGCCGCCGTTTGTTATCAGTATAATGCTGTGTCGTCACTGACATTACATATAAAAAATGGCTTTTGTGAACATCATTATGGCTGAAAGTTATGGCTGCCTTCAAATAAAATGATTTCTGTCTCTACTGTAAATGAGAAGTTTTGCCAGTACACTACCACCCAATTAATGCGGTCATGAATTGTATCAGAATCATGTTTACATGCACTGTAAATGACGTGACTTTTGGAGGACCTAATTTTTGTGACACGACCTAGAAAAATACATATTGCAAAAAATTGGTTTCGCAAATATATTGCTCCACAGTATATAGCATATCGCTCCACATCGCTAAATTCAGAGCCCACGAAAAATTCCGCAACCCACACTTTTTAAGATTTGCGAAATATTGAGCCCACGAACATAAAGTCGTTCAGATAATACGCTATTTTGCAGTTTACCTCATATCTATCCTATATCTAGTTTCCATAAGTAACGCTAATAAATTTGCTGCAGCCATTACCCTACTTCTTTCTAACTTCTAGCTAGGTTGCAATGTGTTTTAATTATTAAATTTTTTTTTAAGTGTTTGTTTTTAGTGTTTTGTTTCATTTCGAGCCACTAAAGAAAAAATAAATGATGATGATGATGATACTTAAAGCAAACAGTCAGTTGTAATATAGAGAAGATTTTTCTTTATTATTATCTTATTAGACTTTTCAAAGAGAACAATGAAAAAATATAGGGAAATGTAAATTATGCACACAAACACTGATGAGGAAGGACACAATGGAATGTACAATAAATAGTATAAATAATATCCGTAAAGCCTCCACGGGTCCTCCCTTCCAGTAAACGAAAGGGCAGACAAAAGCGGACGAAAACAGACGTTTGGCAGCAGTCACCGACCATTAGGGACACAGGGCGCCGACCAGCACCATAATCCTTCCCAAACCAATGCGGAGAGCAAGTCGTCTGCTTTTTGAACAGGGGTTGTGGTGACATCGGAACGATGCCGAGTTCCAATTGACTTTCATTGGAAGGACAGTGGCCTACCCACTGCATTTTTTCGTTTTATTTCACTCAGCCAATAAGAGCTTGGCATTCAGACATCATCGCAACCCCTGTGCAAGCAGACGAACTTGCGCTCCGCATAGAAGCAGACTGCTGGAGATCCCCAGCAGAAACGGTAAGCAGACGACAGTCCCTCCCCGATCTTTGCGGTACCCAGAGCCACTGAACAAGCTACGCTCGAAGTAATGGCTTTTTTTACGGGCGCCGCCATTCCGGTCCTAAGTGCAGAGCCGCCGGGGATCTTTACGACTAAAAATACGGCTTCCCAAGCTTTAGACAAGGAAGCTCGGGCGATACGGTGTTGCTCCAAGGTAGATCGTTTCAACGTTTCTGAAAGACGGAAAAGCGTTTTTTGTGATTTCGAATTAGTCTTCGGACTTCCGAGCACCAAGATGGCCGAGGTGTCGTCACTCTGAAGGCTGGTCCAAGCACTTGCGTCCACTTACGACAGAGTTTTGCCGATCTCTTGCGAAGAGAGTGCACGCCGGCACGCTGGCGTCGTCTACGAGGCGGGCCCTGAACTGCAACTCGCCGGAGCGAAAGTTTCCGAGAATGTATTTGCGAGATGGAACGTATGTGCTATCTGTGGGAAACGGTCACTTGTAACTAGGGTTCCGTGCTTTTGGGGTTCACTGTTCTTCGATTTTTGGGGCATATTTTTGGGGGTTTGTTTTTTCACCACGTATTCAGTGTTTTTCAGTGTCGATTTTCGGTGCCGGACAAAAAGTCAGAATGTGTCGGTGCATACACTGAAGGAAACAAGATGGGGGACGTAGGATTGCCATCCCCCGTGATAGTGCACGTGACCCAAACGCTGCGAATTTGTCCCAGTACCGACGACAGAAGAAAACGAGATCGGGAATTCGGTTTCCCGAGAAATCGGCATCCTTGCAGAGAGTTAAAAGCAGGCTGCGTTTTGGGTCAACACGAAATAAAGCTGTTGCTAATATATACCAAAGGACCCCAAACGTTCGGGGTATGTCGCTATTTTCCGAAAAAAGAAGACCGTACTTACGAGATTGTCGATAGCTTTTTGAGCCACTAAAGGGAAAATAATCCGCAAAAAAAAGTGAGAAAGGTAAGGAAATTGCCGGTGTTACACGACCACCTGACAGATGGCACCGGTGTGTTCTTTAGCTGCAAGAGATCACGAGAGGTTTTAACGCAATTGGTCGTAAGCACTCGATAGTGCACAAACCAGCCGTAGCCTATTCGGTGGCTCTGGCGGGACCGAGCGCACGAGTCCGCTCGACCGCGCCGGGCGACCTTCACTTGCACCCCGCTTCGTGGCACGGACTTGGGTCGAAGACTAAGCTTGTGGATCCTGCCGAGTCGCTGCACAGGCTGGCAGATGACACGTCCTGACACAGCTTTGAGTCGCTCATGTCGTCTGCCAGGGCTTCCAGGATGTCCAGCAGCAGCTCCCTGCTCAGGCCCTGGAGCCGCGGAAGACGGGCCACCTGCGGTGGAACGGAGGTGAGACGTCATCATCCACTTTGCACTTTTCGAAAATTGAACAGCGGGGTGGGGACATAGGTACAGCAACCAGACATCTCGTTTTGCTGGGACAGCACCCGGTACAGGGCTTTGTTCTTGCCATCCCGTCATTTCGTCTGAATGAAGCAAAATGTCCAGTTTTCGTGGGATCTTGCTTACGAAATCAGTACCAATGGAGAGGAAGCAGGGGTTAAAGTCTGGGGGGTCTAGGGGGTCTCGAACCCCCCACCGATTTTAACGGATGGTCTGAGACCCCCCTCCACAGCCCTCGCATGAGTGAAATCAAGAGCATATCTTGCAATAAAATAGCTTGTTTTCAGAAATCGGACATCTGGGGATTAGCAAATTGAGGGTTGCAAGTACAGCGTGGGTAGAGTCAGCAGTGGGGTTTATTTTATGTGCATCTAGTACATCTCGTCAGACCCCCGCCCCCCCCCCCCCCCCCTACCTACTTGTAGGGACCCCTTTCAACTTACGGGAGACTTTAAGCACTGAGCGGAAGAAAACAAAAAAAAACACTTTCTCGTAGATTTTGTGCAAATGTTTTAATATACAGTGTAGACCACATATAGCGTATGTCGCGGGAGTTGCGAAAGTCCGCACTATAAGCGGTATTGCGCTATAACCAAAACATCAATTTTTCAGGCCAAAATACATGCCATGAGACAACTTACCTTTGTAAAACAATTTATTTTATGTTAGATGAAAAATAAAGCCTAGTTTGAGGAAAGTCTATTTCACCAGACTAGTACACTTCTCTCTCAAGTGTGTCAAACATTTTTAAAGAAATGAGCGACTTTTGCCTGGCGCAGCCTTTATTTGGCGTCGCGGGTTGCGGACGGCTGTTGCGAGCGTTCAGGATTGCTAACCCTAATCACTTTTCTCCGGTGATGAAAACGCGTGAAAATTCGCATCCCTTCTACGGTACGCGCCAGTAATACCTTCAACTTGAGCACAGGCATGAAATGCTCCAAATAAGAAATCCGGGCGATGTTCGAAAACACAAATGCTTAGAAAGCACCACTGTAGTCGAAGTAAACAAACACGACGACACGGGCGTTTCTGCCGTCTTGAGAGTGCCGCCGACATCGCCGCACGAATAAGTGGATCTTTCCTCCTAGTACGTGCTGGGTTATCATAGCGACAAACATCGAAAATTCACAGTCAAGGATAGCACTTTTACGGGGAACGATGAGCGTCCACCACACTGTCTACGTCGCCGATCACAACGGACGCCATGTTTGCGGATAGAAGCAGCCGGCCCGCGGCCGACATGCAATGCGCGCGTACACTTCTCCTCGACCTACGATTGGTCTGTTGTTGCGGTTGTTTCCAACGCACAGAGCGGAGGGATGCACAGCACGCACGTGAACGACACGTGCGTGCGTCCCTCCGTCGCTATGGCAACTAAAGCCTCTCTTTGCTTCTCCCCGCTTCTTCGAACAACCTCCTTGCCCCGCGAGTGCCGTTTGCGGCTTGCGCCGTTATCTAGTGTTGCACAGGAAAGCGTGCTCGCTGTGTCGGTTGGTCGCCGCGGTCGGCGGACTGTTACAGAAACCGCACTAAAACCGGTATTTCCCTTCGCGCACCTGCATTTTAAGCGGTATGTAATTACATGGAGTTCTATGGGAGGCGAACCGGTGGTTTAAGAAAGCCGCGTTATACCCGGTCCTCACTATAAGCGGTTACGTTGTAAGTGGTCTATACTGTAGCATGCAAAAACACACTATTCGATATTCCCATCGAGGTGAGCTGCGCTTTTCATAATTCTTTAAGTGTTCATTGCAACAGGTTTGCCCCGTTCAGCACGCTACTTTCCAAGAAGAAAGCAACAACCGCGGAGCTCGGTTCTGCGGCTGCTGCTTCCCCACAGTGCATCGGTGCTCGGTAAGAAGCACACTCAACATGACTAAAACGTTGCGATCAAGACATAAAAAGTAGGGGTGTGCGAATATTCGAAACTTCGAATACTTCGCGAATAATGCTTGCTATTCAATTCGATTCGCTCCACACTTTCGCTGTTCGAAGTATTTGAGTTCTTCAAATACTTCGGAAACTCCGAATAACGCAGAACTCGCCAATTAGTATCAACTCGTGGTCGAGTTCCCTGTCTTGTTTTTGGACTGTGCAATATTGTTTCGAGCTTGGCAAACCCAAAAAGCCAACCTAAGCTCCTTTTTCTTTTTGTTTATATGAAGCACTGGAAAGTTATTTGCGGTAGCGCGATCTGTCCTCTGCTTGCCATGATGTCTGGATTCCGGAGTTGGCGAAGTAGTCATGGCACAAACGCTGCGATAGATTTGATGAAGTTTGCAACGGCACGTGCATCGTCGTGAGCACAAACGCGACGGACCACTCTGACTTCCATAGATTCGGATATGGATTTACGTCTGACCTCGGCTATCGGCGATATCTGGCTCGTGTTATTTTCTGCTTGATTTTCCGGTTCATCAGTGTGCCGGTATTCCTTTTATTTATTTCTACCCGTTTTCACTGATAAAAGTAAAACTTGCTCCCTCTGCCAAAAAAAAAAAAATGTATTCTTAAGGGGGGACATGGCCTCGGAATTCAAAATTTTCAGAAAAAAACTTTTTTTCAAAAATGATATGTTTATGCTTATTAACTTCCAAAGAATGGTCTCAGAAACTTTCATTTATAAGCATGCAGGATTTATCTCAGAATAAATTATTTTTGACCTGTCGGCAGCCCTCCAAGTCAGGAGGGAGCACGTTTTTTGCGTTTTTTATTCAGCGCTGCTTCATACTCGTTTAACCTAGCCAGAACATCTCACCCTCATTGGAAGTGCCATTTACTCTAGATTTAGCCCGTAGAAGCTTTCCAAGTTTACAAGTATCAATGGCCAGGAGGACCCAATACATCCAAACAGAAAAAATTCTGAAAATTTGGTATGAGCAATCTTGCTGGTGGAGACCTGAGACAGGATCTACGATTGGTCCTTCTTGGTGACGTGACATTGTGTCATCTTCAGTAACGCCTCTTTACAGTATCTTTTACTTCCGATCCTATTCCTGCTTTGCTGCTCTTCCTCAGTGTGATTTGCCTCTTAGTTCTTGAGAGTTTATCTGTCAGGGAATGCCTGCTACAAAAGTCAGCGTGCCTACAAACAACACAAACTGGAAGCTATTGCCAGGGGAACAGGGAAGTCTCCAAGGCAAAGGTGCTAACAAAGTGCCAGGTGAAATTTGCCTACCTCGGACTCACAGAAAAGAAAGAAACCTGAAGTTTAAACTTCAAATGCATTTTTCTCAGTTTCACTTTTTGACAGGATATGTGGTATGAGGAAATGTATCATTGGACATTCTGAAAGTGTAAAGATTTCATTCAGTGGTGTCCTGGACTGAAATTTTCTGAGGAACAAGTTAAGGTACTCATATTGTGAAAAAGCTAAATTCTTCATTACAAAAACTGAATATTTTAAAACTCAGAAATTGATTCAAACTCAGTTTGAATCAATTTGAGACAATGGTTCAAAAGTTGACCCTCCCAGGCCATGTCCCCCCTTAAAGGGGCGGTGCAACGATTTTCGGACTTCGGTCAAAGGTTTCTAGAAGTTGTCCTCTGTCACTTCTGAAGTAAAGAACAGAAAACCGATTTCGCCTGCGTGTCCTAGTTGTTGCGTAAAAAAAATATAACGATTGGTATTTCGGGCACCCCTCAACTCACTCCCAGTCTTCAGGGTCACACCTGGTCGCACTCCCAGTGACGTCATTCGGAGTGCCGTGTAGCTTCCCGTGTGCTATCTCGGAGGACGCTTCCCCTCCCTCTCTCTGCTGACATTAGCAGGCGCTATGCTGCAGCTTAGAGCCGAGCGAGGTCACATAATCTTTCCGCCGCAGTTCCTTCGGCTGCCACTTGGGGCTGCAGGTGGGGGAAAAATCTCGACTTTTGCTTTGCGATTATGCAGCGGAATCGCGACACTTTTTAATTAAGGAAGTGTTTTCTCTATCCTTTGGGACACGATAAACAACGTAAAAATGACGAGATGCAAATTCTTTTAATCATAAAATCGTTGCACCGCCCCTTTAATTTATTGCTTTTTTGTGCCACCCTCTATCGGCAGAACTAGTGCACACGGAAAGAGATGCAGTGATGTGATTGGCGTAAGCCATTTTGGAGCACCTTTCGGAGACACAAATGTGGCCTTTGGAGCAACCAAAACAGTGTTTTGGAGCAGCAAAAGTGGCTTTTGGAGCAGCTATTCTTAGAAAAAGAAAAATATTTGTTTTTAAGTGCTGTACAAATGAAAGGAACTTTGTGTCGTGTTGTGTTCTGATGTGACTTGTGACGGTACTCGCTGCTTGTGGTTTTACTGCTGAGACATTTTACAAGTGTACAGCGGTGTAGGCACTGCCGAGCAATTCCGAAAAACCTTACTGGTTCCCGACGTGCCAGATTTTCGTCAAAAGTAAGCAAACATGAAACAATGGATTGCAAGCGTCCCGCCTGGAGCCTCTGTCACGCAGTCTTGTTCGCATGCACGTGAGGGTAACTTCAGCAGGCTTGCAGTTGCGCGTGCTTCGGCGCGCGAGCGGAGACAACGGCTGTTCGATCGAAATTGAAACCTATGCCACTCCGCTCCATCGCCAACAGATTCCCAAATTTGAAGGTAAACATGTTCGGCAGATATCTGCCTGGTTGGGTGAATTTAAATGTAAAGAATAAAGAAATACGCCAACCAAAAAGTCGAAAAATTGTCCCAACGTTTCGAAACAGTTCGTTTCTTCCTCAGGGGCGACTAAACGGCGACTAAAACCACTTTTAGCAATCAATATTTATATATACATTATTTACATATCAAGTGCAGATTGCTGTCACGGCCTTCGGAACCTAGCCGCTCAACTTGCTCACGACGGGGGGACGGCAAATTTGTATGCAAAATATATCTGTCGATCATACGACAAAAAACAGTAGAGCGACGCGTGCTTGCCAGGCCGGCAAACTAAAGCCCCTTCATTTTTCAAAAGTAGCGCAAGGTGCATCGATGCATGAGGCACGTGCAACGTGCAGCCCTTGGGAAGATCATGGCGGCACAGCGCAGTACTGAGCTGGATTTCAATTGTTATGTTCTTCCCAAAAGTGGCGCGTGGCACGTGTCTTGAGCATTTTCACAACAATGAATGGCACCACTTTTCCCAGGAAAGAGGGGCCTTACGGCAAACAAGGTACAAGCTAAACACACACACACACACAAGAGAAAGAACCTGAGCGCATTGATGCAAGACTTCGCGAGCCAGGGTCAAAAGTTCTTGGAGCGCTTAGTGCAACGAATGTAACTCGAGAAAAACAAGCGCGCAGTGCGGGTTCAGCGTGCATACATTGCCTTCTTTGTTTTAGCTCCTCTTCACCAACTTTCTTTTACGGCAGATTTTTCACGTCCCTGGGTCCCTCTCGAAAGCAAGCCTAGCGAGAGAACCCTAGGTAATCAATACTTACACACAGCAGTCTTTGAGTTAAAAAGGGACTTTTATAGTAACGTATGATTTAAACAAGAACAGGAATGTTGATAAACATGCGGCGGTATTTAGTTTCATTTTAGAAAGCGCCATATCTGCACGACGGGGGGACGGCAACATCCTACTACGTCGCGCGACCACGGTGACAGGAAGGCAGAGACCAAATATGGTTTTCCAACGGCCGTTGCTTTCAGGAGCGAGTGCTTCAGCTCACAAAGTAACTCCCGCTGCGCAAAAACGTGGTTTCGTTTAACAGCATGACGGCATGGCTGGTACCCGCACGCTAGCATCGGAGCGTCTGCGCAAACCCGCGTCTATCGTTAAAAATATTAAAAAAGACGAAGACGAGACCCATGAGACGAGAGCGCGAGACGCGACGACGGGAAAGCTATGCAAGATTGGATGGACAACTGATGCAGGGTACTTTGTGTCGGGCGGCCGCTTTCGCCACATAACACATGCAAGCTCAATTACGGTACTCAGTTTAAATTCGGTTTTGAAAGGCGACCAAAATTCGTCCTTTGGCGCAGGCTTGGCGCAGATTACCCATATTTTGGCAAAATGTAGCAGGATGTAGCAGGGCTAGCCCCTTGGTGCAGTTTGGCGCAATCGGCGCAGCAATCACATCACTGGAGATGGCGCAAAGTCAGAACGGCTGCATGGTGCAATCGCACAATCTCCCAAAAAAATTGGGTTGTGTATATGTTTATACAGCTTCGAAAATAAACACATGATCCCACTGAGACACTTGCCAAGCATCATCGAAGACCACTAAATCAATATTTTTTAGAAAGGTATAAGGCAGGGGCAGTATTTAACGGCGTTCTGTAAAAATGCTAGATTTGGACGTGTTTCCAGGTTTCGGTTTCTTATCGGAGCACATCTCTGCGCCTGCAGTCCTTCTCCCAGGTGGGCGTGGTGCAAAGTCACCGCCCCGCCTTCCTCGTCGAATGGAGGGAAGCATGGCGCACCATGTGTGGCACGTATCGGTCACCGGGGAGCAGGACCGCGGGCACAGGGATGCGCCCTGATAAGAAACCGAAACCTAGAAACGCGTCCAAATGGAGCGTTTTTACATAACACCGTAAAATGCTGCCCCTGCCTTTTTTTTATTATATAAGGGGTGCATTTAATGGTTTTCAATGATGTTTAGCAAGTTTTTAACTGGAACTGTATGTCTATTTTCACTAATTAAAAAGTTAATTATTTTGCTAATAAGTGTGTTTTTGCAATTTTCGACGTCCACCAAGGCTGTTAGTTTGTTTACACAAAGGGTTTCCTTTTATCTCGAACAGCATATGCATATTTTTAGGGATTTTTGAAAGCTTTCGCAGAAACACCCTGTAAGTGTTGGGCAGAGATACCCAGACAACCTGCATTACTCATTTGTGATTAAAGAAAAGATACTTGCGTAGATCAAGAGTATTTAAAAATCCCGTCGACTAGATATAGCTCGGCATCTCATAGGTTTAATTCTATGACAAAAGCGTTGTTTCCTTGCTTTCTCAATGTAGACACTGGGCTCTCTCAGGCCAAAGTTGAAAAATATCGTTAGATTAAAGTGTAGAAATGGACAAATGGAAGCTTGGGAGCAACCTTAATGAGTTGAGCTGGGTTTTCGTTTAAGCATGGTGCAATAGTAGAAGGCTTAGGGAAACTATCTAATCTTCAATTAGAAAATATTTGGCCACAACCACTTTTCACTTCAAATTCGCTTCTAACCCAAAGTCTACTCTCCCGCATGCCTACTTCCTCATTACAATTGATAAAAATAAACAAATTGTGAAAATGTCACCTCCCATAGGGTACAATTTCGAGCTCCTTATTGCGCCTCCATCTGCCAATACGCTTTGTGTGCAAGATGTGTGCACGGGCAGGGGACGTTCTGTATTACCATATTTGGCATGCTTTAGTTTTGTAGAGTAGGTGAGGAAGGTGCTTGTGGACTCAACAAAAAAGTCCGGAAAAGTGGGGTTTCACAGTGAATTGATCAGAGTTTACAGCACTGTATCGCTAATGCTATAAAGTCAGCGCACTGCATCAACAAGGTCAGTGCTATTATTAGCATAGACTAACAGCCCTGAGGTAATGCCGCGGTACATGTGTAAACAGGCGATGGCGTACGGGGTGTTTCGCCAATGACCGAGAAGAACTTTTTAAGAAGAGGGCACCCGATACAAACGAGTTATTTCATTGGGACAATTTTGTCGACTACGGCGGACGACGGGGTATGAACAAAAAGTGGTAATTGGAGTTTTTCACTAAATAAATAAATTTTGCTCCCGCCAAATGAAAAATTTATGGCTGTACGAAATTTCTGACAAATTATTAGAAGAGGGTTTAATCCTTCCGGTTCACAAAATATATAGGGTGGGGGGAGTCTCTGGTTTACAATTTCAGACTAAGGGTTGAATACGCCCTTCACTCCACAAAGCTCATTTAGTTCCCGAGTATAGACCAATTTGGGAAAACAAGCACTTCCAATATTTCTTTAACCAGCCTTATTTTTGTGACCAAAGTGCATTCTAAAGGCTTTCTTCGGTTATTTTTCTCGAGCCGGTATAAACAGTTTACTGGGAAACGGTAAATCGGGAACTATTATTTTGAAAACCGGAACCCTGAAAAACCGAAAGGGTTTTACGCTTTACTGCAGTTATCGTTAACGAGTGATTATTTTTTTAGTTTGAGCCTTTGCGTAAAAGTGCTAGCGCAAGTTTCATGCTATCATCTCTTGCTGATCTACGCGATGCACTCATCTTTCCTAGATGCTGAAATAGTAGTTGCCCTGAAGCAGCTCTTTCCCACCTGTTTGCACATTTGTCAAATTTTAGTCAACAGTTCCTTGAAGCGATACAATCCAACCTCCAATGCTGCACGGCCTGATACGCGCTTCAACAGTGGAGGCAGCTTTATGCACCAAAGCAGAAACAGACTGAAATCAATTCCATCCTCTCAATAAGCTCGACGGAACAAAGTGGACGCTCACTTTTGGATAGTGGTGGACAATGAGGCTCAAGGCATGCTTCTTCATGTCTGTGGCTTGGATCTTGTCAGCTGCCTCTAGGATCTGTGGGGAAGAAAAAGAGTGAGCGCAGTGAGCTTCAGGTCAGCCAAAAACACCACAACCCTCGTCTCCTCACCTCCCGAGCAAAGGTAGGATTCCGTACTGAGACAGCAAAAAAACGAACAAGTGCTACGAGATACCTGCATGCATTATGCGCAGCTTATTGTAGTCTATCATCTTTTGCAAGTTTTTACTCTTGCTTCTATAAAACAATAAAAACAAAAAGACAAACTGAACAACTTGTCATCCGACAGAACAAAATTACGGCAGTGATGCACTGTAAAGAGAACTCAAAAGGAATCCCTCATGGAGCCCGAGAACGTCAGCCCATGTTTCACCAAGAAACTCTTAGTTAAAGGTAAGCTGCCATTTCAAGAGACTCCCGACGATATTCCTTTTCAAGTTCTTTATACCAGCCTCTGCCATTTTTGTACTCTGTTTGGTCTTCCACACTGCGGAATAGTGTCATAAAGGAAGGTGGCATCAAATTCTAAGCTTGCACTTCCATACGCTGGCCCTCCGACCATCTGAGCACTGCAAGTATGCGGGACATTTCCACAGAAATTTCTCTGCAGTGGACGACCATCCCCGCAAAATAATGCCCAACCATTCCCGAGTTTGCTTTCCACCAAACCATCTCGAAGAGTGAAGACACAGACCTGAATGACGTTTTCGAAGGTGACATTCATCTCCAGGTTTTCCTTGCAAAAGGCTTGAAGCCGGTTGTTGGTGAACCCATAGAAGTAAGGCGCCGAGAACAGGTACCTTTTCAGGTTTGCTACGTTAAGGAGTAACAGCGAGGCAGCCTGAGCAACTGAATCGCCTAGGCACATTGAGCAGGCCTGTCTTTGTAGGCTCCACATACATTGCCATGCTAAAGTTATATGGATGATTGAGCTGCTCATGAAATCACGATGTGTCAATGAAGTGTCGATTCTGCCATGACATTGCAAAATGTCACATACCCTATGTGTCCCGTCTAAACATTTAATAAATTTTTGTTTTCTTTTCTTTTCAGTGTTTCTGTAGTTGGGAGTGAAGAACGGCGCTTTCCATATAGAGCCGACTACATTTTGAGTGAGGGAAGGACGAAGCCTTGTAAGATTCCCCCCATGGCTATGTCCCTGACCCCGAGGATTCTGGAACAATTATGTATTGTATAGGTCCTCGTCCCACGCACGCCGTAGGACTGTGAGGATTTTGAGCTATGCAGCTCCTAACGATAAAACCCCAATGGAACGCTCGCACAAAATTTGTTAAGATGACACACAGCGTAAATTTGTCTTTTCTAGATTTCACTCGATACCCTAACCTTACTCCAAACTTCTGGGTAGTTGCTACACTTCTAATGTAATTGTAACGTGACAGTTACTGTGAGCGAGCTATCACTCGTTTTTCTCTTAGAAATCAAAAGCTGCCGTCAAACTGCTACCATGGTCAAACGGCTCATTCATATCACCAATCGAAGCGGTAAACTTTTATGCTTGCCAATGCCCAGTTCAAATAAAATGCAAAAAAAGGTCGCTGCTGTGTCTGTACTAACTGTGTTCCAAAGCTAACTATATATGTCACATTATTTTGTGTCACAAAAGAACCAAAGATCAAAAATATTTATGGAGCATCGTGCCACACTTTAAAATAGGGGCATGGCTGGGGCGCTGATCTCTCAGTGAAAATCTAGTAGGATGAATAAGAATAGAGCAAAAAAAATGAAAGCCGTTTACAATTCCCTGTAATGCCGGTTAGAGCGCAGCTCTTGAGGAGAAGGATGGAAGCGTGTTGAGGGATAGGTGACTCCTCGAGGTCACACCTCAGGGGTGGGTCGTGTGACAGCAGGGGGATCACGTGACCTCGGGGGAAGGGGGGTCACGTGACCTCGGGGGGGTCACGTGGCTTCAGGGGGGTCTTGTGACCCCCCCTGAGGCCACGTGACCTCGGGGGTCACGTGACCTTAGGGGAGGTTACGTGACCTCTGGTGGTCACGAGACATCAGGGAGGTCACGTGTCCTCAGGGGGTTACATGACCTGAGGGGGGTCACGTGACTTTGGGGGGGGGGGGGGGGGGGGGGGGGGGGGGGGGAGGGGGGGTCACGTGACCTCGCGGTTACGCCGACGACGACGCCACTCAAGCCGGAAATGGGCCCCTAAGAGCTGTGCTCTAAAATAGCCTAAACTTCCCAAGGTGTTTCGTCCAATGTAGGCAAGCTTTCTCCTTTCCTTTCGATTCACGTCGTCATGCAGGACGCTCCAAAAATAAACTCCTGGACTGATAAACTGTTCAGTAAGTTGCATTCTATCTCCCAACCACAATAGAAACTAGAATGTCATGACGAATAAACAAGGTCAGTGCCGAATAAGAAAGCGAGCTTCCGTTTTTCCAATTTACATTTTGGCAGAGACCTACTTCCTTACACGAGAATTCTAGAAAGAGAGGTTGTGTTCATTATAAACACGTCGGAACGAAGCAATATATTACATTATAAATTCTAGCTGTCCCAAAAAAGACTGTCTGTCAAGTATCTATCCCTCGTTCTCTCACCCATCCCCATCATTGATGTTTAAAAAATGCTACAGTGCCACCAGCTCACCCGTTTTCTCAACCCTAGCTATGCACCTGTGCACCAAACGACCACCGCGGTGCTTAGGGAAATGGACTTAGGAAAAAGGCGGAGATAATGAGAAAGCATGAATGTGCAAGGATACAGGGAGTCTTCGGGAGGCATCGTCACATCTCCGTAGTAGATGTACCTCAACAGCGTGTTGAAAGACTGCAGGGACGGAATCATCTCCCCGATGGCAATCTGCGATCAGCCAGTTGCAAGGCACAAAAGATTGGTGTGACACAGGTTACAACACAAAGGAGAACTGCGAACAATGGCAATCACTAGGAACCGTTTGTGCACTCCCGCAGTTCAAGGCAGTACTTTGTTTTGGACGACTTTTTGGCCGTTCCTTGCTTTCCATGTAAGAGCAAGAGTCCATAAAAGAGAAACTCCCGCAATTTCAGCCAGATGTCGTGACACACCTAAAAGCTGCCAATTGATGACAGAATACCAGAGGCTCGGGGAAACCAAAAGGGAGACACACAAACATTTCAAAGTTTTTCGTAGTCTCGGGTATTCCACCACGAATCCACACAATTTTTCCCGTTTTTTTTTGCTTGTAATGCTAATTGGTGGCTTACATGACAGATACCTACATTGAGTAAAAAAACCTTCGAAAATTATCGTAAATTTTATCGCTAAACATTAAACCTCGAGGACATAAAAACGAGACAAATATTAAACCTAGTAGAGGTTCTCAGACGAGCGATCGGCAAGATAATATCCAAAACGCGCAAAGTACGCTCCAACTCGTTGGCCAGCAGTCTCGGCGAAAAGGGTGCACTCCAAGTGAAATAAATCTTCGGCGGTCCGTTGTTAATGCCTGCAACTCTTCTACCGCAGTCACTGACGGGGCAAAAACGACAAGGAAGAGCTTCGGTTGGCCCGCCTCCGGCGCGACCTCGGCACCTTTGACGACGGCGCTTGGGCGTCTAGTGCATCTTTGACACACGCACGCGGCCAGAGCGTGGTGAAAGGCGTCGAGTGCATGCTGGAGCTCAGGCCTTCGAAAGACAAGCCCCACTGCTCTCATGCTGTCAGCGACTACAGTGGGTAAAGCAGCGCCTCGATATAGTGAATAGGAGGTGGATGGTTCCACGTCCTGCGAAGGCATTAGTTTTGCACTCTGGTTTGCCCTTTTCTCGGTGTTCCTTGAAGCTGTGCCTCCGCCTCGGTTTTCTCGAGTGGCTCCGTCGCTCGGGGGGATATGCGCCGATGGAGTCGGCCAGTTGCCGGATAGACTACTCTACGAGTTCTGAACATCCAAACTTCTTTCCGACTCTTTGGCGACGTTACTGTTTATGGAATCGACGCCCCTGAATTGTGGAACCGATGACTGGATCTTGGACGTGGTGCGCGAGGTCCTAACAGCCATTGATTCCCCATGCTGAGCTGTTCCATACTATATGAAAACAATAAATAAATAAAGAACAAACCCAGACCACATTTCTTGGCCAATAAAGTACTACTATACTTACCCAATTCAGATGCGCATCTTCTTTTGAAAAAAATACGCCAAAAAAGAACCTGCGCGTTGGAATCGGATATGAAACCAAACTTGGGGGTACCTTAGAATCGCAATCTTTTGACATAAAAACTGGGGGCACATAATAATCGACGGTGCGCTAGAATCGAATACATGTGGCACGTGACCAGAGATGAGCTCTGGCGGCACGCAGAAACTGTTAGGTGGCGTCCGACCGACAACAAGGAAGGGGCCCGGCTGGTGCTCACATTAACGGTGTTGTGCTCAGGCATGAAGGAGCGGAACATGGCCTCGAAGTAGCTGCAGCGGGCCACCAGCACTGACTTGTGGGCTGGGATGGGCTGCCCGTCCAGCAGAAGGGTGATGTCGCAGAACTCCCGCCCCACCTCCCGCAGGAAGCTCTCCATGTCCTGCTCCAAGGTCGTGCCTAGACAGACACATGCACCTCACGTCACAAGTCCACTTTAAACTTACTAACGTGATCACTCCAACTCGCGGAAGAGCCACAATTTTGGAAGATTAAGAGTTAACAAAAATGGGTAGTGCTGTTTCAAAGGGCTGAACTTTATGGCGCACCGTGCATTCACGAGGGCGCCCATCAAACCATTCGGCCATTCTTGGCCGCGACACGATCACATGGTCGTGTTGCCGCGGGGGTCGATCAGGAACTCGAATTCGGCTCCCGACGCGCCGCTTTCTCTCCTAGCCACTGGAGGGCGCTGCAGGCACCCCCGTGGCAGGCGAGGAGAAACCTCCTCGCCCATCGAGAGATATACTCGGTGGGGCAGGGGGCGAGAGGCCTCTAAGAACTCCGGACGCAACCGAGACGCAGGCACTGGCAGGCAAGTGGGTGGCGGCCGGATCTAGGATATCGCGGGACGCGAGGCCTAAGGGCCTTCTTTGTGTTTAGCGTTGGTCTTAATGTGCATTTGTAAATATTTGTGTAATGTCGCGTGTATTTGTAGTTTAGATTAAGTGTTTTGTAGCGTTGTATTTTATTGTACCAATAAACGGAAAGCGGAATCCCGCTCCCGTGAAAGAACCAGGCTGGACTCGGTTTGTTGACGGACCACGTGGGAAATGGCGAATCGGCGGCGGTACGCGAATTCCTACTACTTCCAATGGGGTACCCAGCTTGCACCAGCTCCAATGCAAAGATCATAATAATTAAATCAATGACTATCGCTATCAATTGCAATCAAAATCAAAAGATTTTTTTTACTCTTTCTATACAAATAAATATAAGCCACTGGATAACCGCACAATGTCGAGCAGCATGGTGAGAGCTTCAAGAACATGTTGGAAGTGGGCCCATTATCTTCAATTTTATCTTGTTCAGCAGCAGTGGCCGTTCGAAAACTGGTAGGTTCAAGTTACCCCCAAAAATGTGGCAGAATTCATAACTGCGAGAAATGCCGGTATTCAACTGTCTTAGATCAGTGGAAATACGAAGTGTACACAGTTCGGTATTAACGCCAACAGAGGGTTGGCATGTCTAATGAGTTTACTTGCGTAACATATGGGTGTCAAGCACTGAAATTTGCAACGAAGTTGACCCATAGGCATATTCTGCCCAGCTAAATCCATTGGCCACATTTTTATATAAAAAAAAAAGTGAGACATGTGAACGGACAAAGGCTGATCATGTGTCGGAAGCAAGGACCCACCTGTGTAGTCGAAGAGCGGCTCCTGGAGAGAGCGCACGGAGGGCATCTGCCTCCTGCGGATGATCTCCACCATCAGGGGCTGGGCGATGGTCTCAAACTCTTTGCTCATCACTATCTGGTTGTACGTGCTCTCCTTCACTATGAACTTGAGGCAGAACTCCTGCAGGCAGCAGCACTGCACACTGTCATCCCTCCCTACTTTGCTCAAACTGTTTTCACACTTTCATTCCTTATGGTTTCTGTTCTGTAGAATGAGCAGCACCGATTTATCAAAAAATTCTTTTATAAAAAGAACTTCCATCTTTGCCTGCCTTCCAACTCTTGTAAAGAGAGCTGATAAATCTGGTTAAAGGAGAAACATCTAGCACTAATTTGCCCCTTTCATTCCGGCAAATTAACAAATTTACAGAGGTTTAAAGGCACACGAGAATTCTTCGCGCAAATAAAAATTACGTTGAAACTCGCAAACTTCGAAAAACACAGTAGTATAGGTCTGTCACGACTGATTCGCAAAACATAGGGGCTACGGATATGAACGGTTCCGCGGTAGTTTAATAGCTCATTAATAATATAGCTTCATAATAATAATATTAATGTTTATTTCTCTGGTGCCCCAAAACAACCAGACGGCCTTTGCTTGGCTTTGCTTGGGTGCACCAACGCAAACACGAAGCAGAAAAAGCAATCAGGCACTTCACACAAACCCAACACAAAACAAAATTACCAGCCAAAAAAAACAAAACAAAAAAAACTATGACGCAAGCACAAGCTCATTCAGCTGATGGCGATACCTTGAAACGAGAGTAGATCAGTTAATGCGAGATGGCACAGTGTTGTTATCTAGCGTCTGTATACGAGAGTGGTCAAGGTACCTATGCAGTTTGACTGCTTACCGACTTTTTAAAAAGAACAAAACAACTTTCAATAATTTATGTGCAAGTTTCTGTCTGCCCTTTATAGACAGACCTAGATCTGAAGGAAATGTTTGCCATTAAAAATGCCCACCCAGGATGTCCACTAGGATCCTCTGAGATCTTCTAGATGGAGCAACACAACAATGTCCGCTTGAAGTGACCACGGGACGATTTTTGGCTAAAAAGACTGCCACGAGGCGACTGCCAGATGTGCCTACGCTTACAGACACCTAAAAGCGCAAGCAGACGTCGAACCTTGATGAAATCCAGACGCAGGTCTGAGGCATTCTGGAGCGCCACGAGCACGTTGCGGTGGTTGATGGCGGCCTCCAGGTACTGGACGCACAGGTGCTCCAGCCGCCGCATGTGGAACTGCAACCATTTGTGGGAGCACTCATTTCATAAGTGAGGAGCCGGGGTCTCGTTTTATGATGACGGCCATTATAGGGACATGCCAGCGATGTTTGTGGCATTGACACTGCACCGGGCAGAAATCTCCAATTCCCCTCTCCGACGACACGTGGCAGGCGAGCCCGTGCACCTGTAGAGCCCCTTGATGCTTTTTGAGTTTTAATGCAGAATATGTTTTATGAGGAGCTTTCTATGGTATAATTGTCATGAACGAGCATCATACCGGGCATCATAGCGAGCATCATGAACGAATGATACGCTGGGAGTGTTACGAGCGTTAAAAAGTTATATGTTATGTTTATATACAAAGTTCGAGCAACTCCCGGAATCTTGGAGCGACTTCCGGCCAGCTACATATTTGAAAATCATCCCTTATTCGTTGTATATTACTTAAGAACTTCCAGTTTTTGCCGGAAAAACCCTTTAATAGGATGAGACACACATTATTATTGCTATTTACAGATTTAAAAATTTGCCCTGCTAAGGTGAAACAAATATTTTGGTTAGCTAAAGTTTTTCGCTCATACTTTGCTCTCATTAGTCGGAGGATGGCACGCTGTTGTTCCAAGGAAATTGCCTTAGTCTTCCCTGTCGAGGTGCCGCAGGTGCCGGGACTCTCCATCGTTCAGTGGCAATGATTCGCCAAATCGGTGTTTGAGCGATTTAAACGTTTGCGCAAGAGCGACCACACTGACCAGCGACGCCGACACGGAATTTGAAGCGAACGAAGAACAAAGAAGCAAGCACGGCACCGAGTTTGCACTCAAGCTCGCCTTTCTTTGGTACAGAGTCTGGATTTAACAGAGGGGGCAACGACTCGATCGCGGTGACATGGTTTGTGGGCCGCGTTTACAAAACGAGCTGCAGCCTCCAAGGAGTCAAAACTCAAAAGCGTTCACCTTCCGCAAACGTGTCCGCCTCTCCACCCAGTTTCCTCACCACACTGGCCATCAGGGACGGCGCCAGGATCTTCATAATGGGGGGGCAGTGGGGAGGCGAACCAAATTGGGGGGGAGGGGGGGGGGGAGGGGCGGTTGCTTTGCGGTGCTGTCGCCCACGGGCTTATGCAAGATAGCTTATGCGGTGTGCTCATTGAAAAGGGAAATGCGGAGACACGAGGAGGAAGACGGGGGGGGTGGGGGGGGGGGGGGGTATCACAGGAGGGACCTCTGCCCCCTGTGCTCAGCCTCACAACCAGGTTTTGCTTCCCTTTCTGAGGCAGTGCGGAATTCCCCATGACCTCGACTTCAACTAAGCTCCCCTTCGTTCACGTCTCCGGTCTCCGCTGAAGATAAGCCCCACAGAGCGGAATACGGAGAAAAGCCAGCAGGCGTCACAAAGGGAAGCTGCTTTTTCTAAAGCACTTGATAGCTTACTCGCCCGCGGTTAGGGAGACATGAAGGCACCCTACCCGCGGTAGGACTTCCAGTAGCTGGAAGTTAATAGAAAAAAAAAAAAAACGCATGAACGGCTCTAAAGTCTGGACACTCGTTGCACTGGGTCTTCAAGCCGACGTCGTAGGAAATTATTTGTATATAAAGCTGCTTCATCTTGGGGTGGCAGAAGAAATTTTAGGGGAGGCGCCCGCCACCCCTCGCATCCCTTTGGCGCCGTCCCTGCTGGCCATGCGACAACCAAATGCAGGCGTACTTGCGGCAATCTGCCCAGGAGGCGTCTGTCGCTAAATTGCAAATGTTCTAATGGTTGGAGTTGCTCCCTCCTTTTAAATCTAGGCTCTCCCCGTCATCTCCGCCGGTACGTTGTCGCTAGCGCACTGAACGCCCCTATCGGCATGCCACTTCGGTTTCTCAGTGTGCGACGAAGAGAAGTCACTTCATAAGGAGCGGGGAGCAGCCGACGATGCAGGCGCTGCCACCGGCGGCCTTTTCAGCATCGTCTGCGGCCCGTTCTGGATGGCTGCTCGGCCGCAGCAGGAAAGTGCGGCGGTATGAGACTTAATAAACTCAGAATTTTACTTTTTTTTTTAAATTATCACGAAATTTCTCTTCGCTATATCCACAGGAGGCACTCAGTTTCCTTTGCTAAAAACAGACACAAAAGCATTGAAAAAGTGCAAGCAGGAATGGGAAATTCCTGCTTGCACTTTTTCACTTGCACTTGCAGGTTTACAGGAACCTCCCTGAGAAATTTTTCGCAGACAATGGGAATCTAGGTGCCGTTTCACTGCTACAGACAACGTCCAGCCATTGGGAATTTAGGTGCCATTTCACTGCTACAGACACCGCACAGCCAATGGAAATTTAGTTGCCGTTCTTGCCGGCTTCACTTCATGAGACCAGATAATGCTTTCGCATTAAAAGACAGTTGCACAAGAGCATGTTCTTTGTGACTGACAAGGTGCCCAAATTGGCCCAATGCCAAGGTATTGTCACAAATAACAACTGATGAGGCGATGATAACTGAAGGAATTAAACATTTAATGGGGCAAACTTGTGCTCAAAGCAAAAAGGGAACAGAAGAAAACAGCAGAGCGTCGCAGGCATCGATGTCGGCGAAACCGCAGGATCGAGCGCTGGGGCGAGACTGACTCCGGCTCGCCACGCGGAGCACCTTTTGTACCCGCGGGTTTCTTTGAAACATTCGGCCTAGAATGTTCGACGCGTAGAACATTCGTAACTGGATCGAACGAGAAGGTTCTTGAACTTACGAGAACGCCAAGTACTATAGTCGGATGCAACCTGAGAACAATCTTTTAGCTCCACCCACAAGCCCATCGCGCCCATCTGAAGTGCCTCCGCCGTCGAGAAAGTAGTTCGCTAGCAACGTTGCTTTTTCTTCCTCCAGGAAACGTGTCTTAAACTGCTACAATATTTATTTAATTCATTCAAGACATTTAAATAAGTTAGAATATGTTTTTGTCAACGAAATAGCTGTTTAGTAAAGAAAGAAAGTCATGTCCAATGTATCGCCTTCCCCATTAATTTTCTGTCCAAGATACTGTCTAACATACCGTCTTCCAGCGTCTTCCAGTGCTAAGCCTCGCGCCCGCTTCGAAATTTTCGTTGGCGATAGCGTCGCTGGATTCTCACGTTGTCGCGCAAAAACTGCTGCAAACGCAAGCCGATACCATTAAGATTTCGTGGCGTAACCTCGGGCACGTAAAACACGGTGCAAAAAAGCAGAATAATTGTCACGAGAAACTAGCGTCGCGTTGCTAAGGCCAGCAGCCATGTTGAGCTTTTTTTTTTTTTTTTCAAAAGGATCGCGATTGGTCCACGGAATCGTGACGTCATGAAAACGATTGGCTGGCGTTTCTCGGCGTAGGATTACATTTTCCTCTGAGAGGCATTTCCGGTTTTTTCTTAGCTTGCAACCGACTATAGAAAGAATACATAAAAGAAGATTCCGCTCGCTAGTATCGAACCCGGATCCTTCGTGTGACAGCCAAGCATGCTAACCACTCAGCCACGCACGCGCTCGCTCGGCAACGTATGTGGCAGTATTTGCCAACGCAATCATCGTTCTTCCCGTTTCCCCAGCATCGCTCCCCATTGCTTCTTCGCTCGCTCGTTAAGCCTTGCTGACTCTTTTTTTTTACTAAGACAACATAGCAGTGTTACAAACATACTTTCAAAAAACAAGCGTTTGTGCTGTATGCCGATCGGCAGTGTTCATCGAGCGAATGCAAGCAACAGACTTTGCAATAGTCAAACATTCTTTCATGAACATTTCTTGCATAACACAGTAAAACTAATTCGAGTTCCAAGTTTAATGTATCTCTTGTGCAGCCGCGCTAAATATGTAAAAAAAACAAGTGGTTTTTTTTTTTCTTTATAACATTTTGTGTTTACCAACAAAGACATGGCCCACCCCCGTTTCCTTGATGCATTTTAGGCGGCAGTTGGGTGGGCTACGATTTGGGATATTAGGGCATAATGTTTTCCTAAGATACATGCGCACATTCTAGAGGCAGCCTGGAAGGACTTTCGATATTGTAAATAAATAAATAAATAAATAAGGAAGTGGCTCTACTTTCATAGAGGCTTGGAACCTGAAGCAATGTTGTTTGAAATGCCACCAAACCATGCCGATACTGTAGAAGTCAAAATGGCTAACATTGAGGCAGTTAACAACGAATGAAACTTCTCTGCTATTATTCTCACAAAACCCACAAGCTATGCCACAACCTGCCTCGGTACATAGTACAGTTTAAGCTCGTTATAACAGACCTTGATTTTGACCAAGATTTCGGTCTGTTGTAAAAGGAGTATGATGTATGCAGATATAAAGTTGAGTCAATGGTGTGTAAAGGAAAACCAAACAAACTTCACAAATTGGTATGTTATATCCAAATGTCTGTTGTAACCAGGTCTGTTGTAATGAGCTTAGACTGTATAGCGAGTTTCAATTCAAATTTCGATTATAATGACTTTATAAATTATTAACCACATCAGTTCTTCTAAAGTAGTTATGCACTAACAGCATTCTTGGCCTCAACACATTTTCCTTAAACCTTTTATGAGCAGGCCCTCAACTGGATGCAAAGAAATATTAGTTTTTTGTTTTGCATAACTAAGACTCTACACACTAGGTACACGCTGCATCATATTCATACTTCATTCTTTGTTCTTCACTCATAAAATACCCTCAGCACCTAGTAGGCAATAATACGAGGGGCAAATAACACTGACAAAAATGCACTGTCTTCATTTTCAGAACAAACAATTTTTGGAGGCAAACATAGCAAGTATACACCAACTCATGTTTACAAACAAACCGTAGCGCCCCTAGCGGACGCCACCGGCGCCGCTCATGCGCGATGGGGGTGTGGGCAAGAAGCTCGCCGTCGCCCATAAACAAACCATTGGAATGCGATGTTGTCGGCGTCCGTATGAGTCCCCCTGCCCTTTTTTGCGTTTGAATTGTTGATTCTACGTCTTCCTGGCCATGTCTGACTACTTGAGCAGCGTCAGCGAAATTACCGAGGCTCGTTACACCGCAAAACTTCGCGTGAATAATGTGACATGTGGCGATTCATTCCGCGTGGACGCGGCAGTATGTACGCTACAGCCTGATTCGCATGATGAGATTTCGTTCGATATTTTCAGTCGCGAAGCCGCTCGGGCTGCAAAAGCGTGAACCGTAGCTGAGATGGTCGACGTCGATACTGAAAACCGCAAGCAGAATCGGACCAAGTGAATTAGGCATAACAACTCGGTGATGGTCACTGGTAACAATGATCAACATCTCCTTGTATCTACTGTTTACATCGAGCCTGCTTACCAACCTTCAAACGTTAGTCTTTTGAGGCCTGCACTTACTTCTTATCGCAAGTACCGCGCCAACTATTGGTCTACCGTCTACGGGCCGGCGTCGTCTAAGAGAGCAGACGACAAGCAGAAACGTTTGGAAGAGCAGACGACAGTTCGAACGATCCGGCCGCCGTTTGAAATTGAAGACGCACTGAACATAGTCCGCACGTGGTTCTGACAACTTGACGGTTTTCTGGCGTTCATGTTGGAAGAAAACAAATAAAACTGATGACCACAAGTATCCGTAAATTCAATCCAAAGCGCTTCCCGCCCAAGGAATCGTAGTCCGACGGCGTCTGCTTTTCCCTTTTCACGGCACATATCCAGATTCTCGGACGAACCGAGCACGTGAAAACTGATCTTTAAACTTTTCTCCATACTTTTGGTACGGCCCCAGCCGCGGCGTTTTGACGAGAAGGCAGGTTTTTGTCTGGTTCCTTTCAAAACAACGCAGGAATACACGTCTGGCATGGGGACTTCTGCCCACAGCCCCAGACCGGAAGTGCGACCGACGCGCCACCACCACGCCGTGACGTAACAGAGATGAGTTTGTGTATACTGAGCTGTGTCCCTTGCAAACATTTTAAGAATTACTATGTAGAACTAAGTTCCTCCTTTTAAAGTTGAGGAAAAATGACTCACTTGGACTGCGAGCCTGTAGACGTCCATCATGAGGAGAACTATTCGGTCACTCATGGGGTCACGACCTGGGAGGCAAACAGTCGGACAAGGACTTCGCTTCAGCCCCATGCATTTGTGCTACGCTCCCGGTCACAAACCGCTGAGTGCCATTCAACCGAAGCATCACAAATTTGAACAATTTTCCCATGCCTTTCCCCATTTGCCTTTTCCTTTTGCTGAACATTCAAAAGAACACCGTAACACACTCTACATGTTTATTTCACATTGACTGAGCTGTGCTGCTGTGTTATACATTAACGACACAGAGACGAGAAAAAACAAGTTATACGCAAGTAAGCACAAACCCTTTATTCTTCCCCATCTACCCAACAGCAAATCACCACAGGCAGGAAAAAAAATATGAAAATAGAAAAAAAAGACAAAGAGAAACAGGGATAAATACATTATACACCAATTTGCAGGTGTCCAAGACAGCAAGGCGCCACAAGCTCACCATGGTCACAGTGGGACGCGCATGTGACTCGTGACGATTATTCAAAGTGCCTTCTGCGCTATAGTCAGCACACTATACACGTTTAAAGGTGAAAACTTCATGCAATCAGAGTGCCTACAGGTGCAAACTATACAGGGATTTGTTTCTTCAAAGTCGTTCGTTATGGGAGACGCGACGGATTTTATGAATTACAGATTATGTTAATGATGATTTCTGTATGGTGCAAGGTTCCTTGTGTGCTAATAAAGCAGGCATGTTTCACGATGTGCCACGTAGAAGTATTTTCTACATGTGGGCTATAGACGTTTGCAAGAAAGGCTCCTGTGCGCTGCCATTTTGAGCGATGCTGGCGCCCCGTACCGTTTCCGCCATGCTGGGGTGCGCCAGGGGCACGTCAGTGGGGTGCGTGATGACAAGATGGTGCCGTTTGCTGCATCGCCGATGGCTTATGTTAGCGGCACACTTACTGTCTCGGAACGCAGGAGGAGGTATCCACACAGAATCGCAGCGTCACATATTCTAGGACGGGGCATCTTTCAGGGTTGGAGCTGACTTTATAACGATCGCAGCCTCTGTTCCTGCATGTTGTGGAAGCCAGAGCTGCCGCGAGCGCAGCCATCGTTGATGCAAAGGCCATACGACTTTTGGCGCATTCTGAAGAGAGCGCCTTGAGACATTAGATCTTTTTGAAAATTTTCGATTTGTTACCACTTTAGGCATTTTATTTAATTGTCCTTGCTATTTCGCTGTCGAGGACGACACGTGCACATTTTATAATTATTTTTTAAAATTTCTTTCTGCTCTCAGTGGTGTACGCTTCGGCGAGAGACGCTTGGCAACATTGTATGACAACCAGCGAACGTCCTGGCTGGAGAGTAGGTCCGCCTCACCTTGGCGCGCGGTTCGAGGTTAAGCCGGGATCCCACTTGCAAAGGTGTATACACCAGCTATGAACTATGCTTGGGACGTGCACTCTTCACTGGGTGAGGAGATTCTAGGGACAAATGTTTTTGTTCGGCTGAAATTTGCTGCTGTGAATATGCACGCCTCACGGTCATGTAACCCTCACGCGGCAACGAATCACCTTCAAAGACTCGCAGTGTCTGCCGCAACCCGTCATAAAGTGAAACAGAGTAAGAATGGCTTTGACTCAACACCTACACCCCCTCCAGTTTACCCGCCTATAAAGACAGGCTTTCCCTAACTGTCCCAATTAGGGAATGTCCATCCCTATGCTGTTGTCCCCACCCCTCCCCTTAGTCCCCAGGCTCCAGAGAGAGGCGGCGGCTCACTCACTCTTGCGGGTGGGGTCGATGCGATCCGTGTAGATGTATGTGAGCACCAGTTCGAAGGCCTCGGGCACCGCGTCGGGCAGCCGCACCTGCAGGATCGGCGGCCCCATGGGGCCCCAGGGGGCCAGCTCGGGGTTGCCCTCCACCTGCGAGGGGGAGGGGCTTCGGTAAGGGAGCTGACCTCCGAAATACACTTAAGCAGTATTGAGCAAGTATTAAAATGTTCTAATAGTAGTTTCAAATAATACGCTATTCAATATTTACTTTGAGGAGAACTGCGATCTGAAGTGTTAGTTGCCGCTAGTCAGCCCCGTTGAGTGCACTTTTCACCGAACATCCGTGCACTGCGACGAAGAAATACCCGCACAGCTCGCATCTTCCGCGAGTAATTCCTTGCAGTGCATGCATGCTCAGTGAGAAGCGCACTCAACGGGGCTAAGGCGCCGATTATGCAAATAGGTTATACACAGGGACAACTTTTTCTGGCATTTCCAAAGAAGTGAAGACCGCGCGAGAACAGCTGGGCCATGGAGGAAAAAAGCTTCTGAAGGTGACACGAGGCCACTAGAGTTGAAGCAAGAAGAGTGGAGGGACGTGCCCTCAACCACGACCAGAAGCAAGAGATGCTACTGGATGAAGAGGAGAGCTGAATCAACAGCAGTTTTGGTCACCCTCAGAGGGCCCCGAGGGTGACCAAAACAGCTGTTGACTCAGCTCCCCTCATCATCTAATAGAATCTATCAGTTTTGGTCATTGTTGGGCTCATGTCCCTTTGCACTTCTTGCTTCACATCTGGTGGCCTCATGTCGCCTCCAGAAGCTTACTAACTCCGTGGGTCTAGCCGAACTGCCTGCGGCCACTGAATGGCATTAAAGAAGAAACGATGAGGGTACATGCGAGTCTCTGGTCGGTGCTCGAGGGGTGCAAGGGCGTGGGCGCACGAAGCTTTGGCTTTCTGAGGCACAAGAGCACAGACACCCGTAGCTTTGGGTTCACTGTCAATGAAAGTTGTCTCCAAGTATAGTAGGGGCATCGCACTTACGTCGACGAGAGCCTGGGCTTCCTGCTTTTCCCGAGCCTTGCGAATCTTGTCCCGGAGCCATGCAGATCTTGCGGCCACAAAGCCGACGTGGGCCGGCACTGGGACCTCCTCCTGGTTAGGACACGGGGAACAAAAGAATGCCAAAACAAATTACGCGAATCGACGCATGCGAAATGCAAACGGGTATGTTCGAGCCCGGTTACAGCGAAGACGACAGAAAACCAACGGAAATTTCTTTTGCCACGTCTGCATTTTGTTATGGTACGAGGAATATTCAACTTGCGAGGTCTCCTTTATTTTTTTTTTTTTTCTCTCTGGAACACGAGTGACTATAGTTTCCCGGAGGTTGGAGGATCCTGTGCTTCTGAACTATTCCATTCGACATAAACCCCGATAAACCACAACATTTTGTCAGACACCAAAAGCTGGTAGCGAAAAGCACCGAATCTGTGGGGAAAAATGAAGCCCAAAGAAACACCCGGAATATGAAGAAAAAAAAAACCCAGAAAACACAGAATTCTAGACAGAACCGAGTGCTCACCCGCCACAAACGTGAGAAGCACGCTAAAGCAGGGGGATAAAGCTGTTTCCAAGCCTAGTCCCAGCCCAACAAAAAAAGAAAGACACACAGACACTACAGGGCTATCCACTTATAACAATCGTGAGAAAACCCAAAAATTCAATCGTTACAACCGATTACCATTATGTCTGTACTAGAAACCGAGCGTTTCTAGTCTAGAAGCTATAGAAACAATCGTCATAAGCAGTACATCGTTACGAGTGGACTGCACCGTACATCGGCAGGTTTAGACACACATACACATTTGCGTACGAAACAGGGGGACGAAAACGAGGGGGGAGGCCCACCCTTCCGAGGAGGAACTGGACGTCGCAGAACTGTTGCGTCTCGAGCAGGCGCCCAAAGTCGTCGTGGAGGGTGCACTTGGGGTAGCAGGAGAACTGGAAGCGGAACATCTCCCGGCTCCGCACATTGTTGTCCACTGTGCCCCCAAACACGTACATGGCGTCCCCGACCACGGCCGCCGCGTGGAACAGCCGCCCGGAGGGGACCTGCGGGAACGTCCAGTGCTTGTTGGCATGCGTCTTTGACCGGTGCGTTTGGTGCCCTATACCGCCCGGGCATTGAAAATGGCCCCAGAAGCGGCAACGAATTACGTCGCGGAGCCGCCGGACGTCACCAACCTGGCAGCTGGTCGTAGAAGTTCCGGCAAAGAGTAAGAGCAAATCTGAGTGTTGCGGTCATTGGGGAGTCTCGACCCAAGACCGCTAGGTTTTTGTCGACTGGCTGGCGGCGGAGCGGCCCACAGCGGAAGAGTGGTGTGCTGTATTCGCCACCAGCATTATCAACTAACGACTAAATGGGCCAATGAGGATGCTACTGTGCAGGGTTGGTAGCTACAATGTGCCCTCCGTCACTGATGCAGCTGCACACGCTAGCATATGCCGCGAGAAAAGCTTGCCTTCTTTTTACTTTTCTGCGAGCTCGTTGGGCGAGCACTATGCAGAGGACAGTCGCAAGCCACAGGGATAATGGGAGTTCCATCTCAGACGTCGTATATGCTGAACGTTCCACATGACCAACGTTAACCGAAGGTTGTTAATATTTCTTGGCATTTAATGATGCTAAAAACAAACGGGGGACATGCTGCTTAGATTTAGCGAAAAATCGTCCACCTGAAAACTGCGAAAACCACCCTTTAGTATACAATGGCCAGCACAAGAAATGTTTGGGTTTTCCTCTTTTCATTCCTGCAAACAGGGTCAAGAATCGAAATCATGAAATTATTCCACAAAATATTTATTCCAGACAATCGTAGACACATGTTGTTAGGACATTCATGTTCTTTGCAACATTGACAGATAAAAGATACTGGTACAGTTGAATCTTGTGAATTCAAACCAACATGCAGGTCCCATCCTATGCCTCTCTATGGGAGGAAACTCCCGGTAATTCAAACTTTGCTTTATTCAAACAAATTTTCGGTCCCCCTCGAGTTTGAATTGAAGAAATTCGGCTGAATTTTCTCGAATATGGTTCGAGCCCTGCCAACCACCTGCCTCCATGCTGTGGCACTTGTGCTGTGCCGCTCACATCACCGCCTTGCACCAATGTGCTCGGAGCGGCGTCTGATGCAGCTGAGCATCTAGGTTAACTAGACGGGCTCAAAAATTTTGCTCACTATTATGGGTTGACCTTCATAGGTGACAACGCCGATCCACAATTCCAAAAGACAGTGCCGGAAAAGGCAACCTACATATGAATAAATACAGTAACCTGGAAGAACAGCAGCACCACCATTCATAGTCAATAAACTAAAAAGAAGTACCCCAAAATTATGGAGGTTTATAAACCAAGCCGCAGAAGGCATTTGGCTTGCCCCAGCCAAGAAGTGATGGCTAAATACGACCACCCGTGAATCCTTAAACGTGCAGCCGAAACCTTGGTTACGGGGTGTGGTCTCCGCAGTAAGCCTCCACCAAACTGCAGGAAGCTCGGCGGGAATTCGAGCCCATAAACCAATAAGTAGGTTGGCACTTTTGTTTTATGGCACATAAAGCAATTACTTGAGGATGGACAATGCACACCCAAAGGTGACGTATCGCCCGGCAAAGACCGCTCTTTCGTGCTACCTTCAGTAAAACACCGTTAAGGCTAGGCCATGCATTCGCATGCAACAGAGTGCATTGCAACCAATCATGACTGCTTATGACGAGAGAATACACTGGCACCAGGCGCGTAGCCGGGGGGGGGGGCCATGGGGCTCGGGCCCCCCACTGAAATCTTCCATTTTGCTGGGACCTCCTCTCCCCCCTCCCCTCATACAGCATTTCGTCATGGGCGGGCCCCCCAAAACAAAATTCTGGCTACGTGCCTGACTGGCACCATCAATTGGGTGGCCCTACACTTCCACTTCGCCAAATCTTCCAATATGTTACGCATCCTTCCTTCATTGCGGGTTCAAAATATGTGTGTTAAGTAGAGAGCCTGTACTAAAGAGAGGGTATGTTTATAGACCACGGGGAGTGTTTCAAACTTAATAGTGGCCGCCTGTGTTGGAGATGGGCCGTAAGTAGGGTTATGTGTTTTCAGGGTTTATTTTTCTTCTGAATCAAGGGTGTTTTTTGGGGGTTTTTTTCCCCTACACATTTGGTGCTTTTTGGTGTCAATTTTTGAGGTAAAAAAAACAGCCGGCGCTTATCGGGACTTACGTTCCAGAAAATAAGACGCAGGAATGGGATTTTTCCCAACCTTCGGAGGGCGTCGGCTAAAATCTGAATACTTTGACGACGTATTTGGGCCGTAAAGAAACGAAAATGGGATAGGGAATTCGGTTTCTGAGGAATGACACAGCCTCCCGGCGAGTTCATGGGGGTTCCATTTAGGTTTAATATAAAATGAAACTGTAAACACAAATTTTCATCCCGTGTAGCTTTGGCTTTTCCTAGTCAGGGACAGCTCCAATTGTTTTTCTTTTTGGTTTTCGCCGATTTTGATAAAGCCGTCTCGGGGGTTAATGTTCGGGATTTATTAGTATTTACCAAAAACACAGAACCCTAGCCATAAGTGTGCATGCGCTCCGGTTTCGCGTGGCAAGGAGGAAAGCGTGTGAAATGGCACGAGTTTGCAGATGATCCGACACTTTCGGCACCTCCTTGCAGCTCACATTGCAAATATGGCCCATAAACCAGTGATGGGAAACACTCCGTGATACAGGCTCTCAAGTGTTCCCTCGACATAAGCGATCGCAGGTGGTCGCAGTGCACTCAACCACACTCGAATGCAAACGTCTGAACTGGCGTCTGTGAGGTGTCAAGAAAGGGTAACCTGGCTGTCTGCAGACGGCTGGATGATGGACCACGTCTGCGAGTCCAGGTCAAAACTGAAAGGGAGAAGAAGAGCACACCGACACTAATTGATCATGCTGTCCACCCACGCTGCATTTCTACCGGGAAGGACGCCTACCGGCCCCCCTCGTCGTTTCAAGTCCGTGAATTCGAAAAATGCGCAAATAAAATTCAGAGAATGTGTCGATTATGAAGGGACAGGTTGCGAGGACTTTATAAATGCACCCATGGCTTCGCCAGGAGCGAACATCACAAGATTAGGTCTCGCAAAGATGCAGCCAGAGGAGTGCAGCTTTCCAAAAAGGTGTTTTTTTGAGAGGTGGGTTTGTCGTGTTAGAAGAGAAACACTCGACTGGATCGAGAGTGATCCCCCGAGGCAATTTTAATAGAGGTGACATTAGCTTACGCTCACATGTGCAACAAAATACCAAACAAACACTGATCTTGAACTGACTCGTATCTACCGAGAAAGTCCGCCGTAAAATCAAGCAAAAACTGTGTTTTTGTGTCTCCGTCTACAGTCTCAAGCTACAGATGTTGAGTCAGCACTAGATCTCCTCAGCTCTCACAATTTCATCACTGATGCTGAAATGAATTCAAAACATTGAATTTTCCTAATTAACCCTTTGACGGTCGTTACGGCGGCAATTACACATTTGAGAGTGCCCGCCTAAATGCGAAACTGTAAGCACCGTGAGAGGTGTGTTGCTATTTGTTGCATCTTTGGCAAACTATAAGCATTATATTAGCACGGTGTTTCCCTTCTCTGGGGCTATTTATTAGTTTTTAAATTAGATGCTCCGCGCACGTGATATGTGCGAGATGGTAGCTTTGTACATCGGCCGCTGTGGTGGTAGTCGCGACTGAAGTGCCGACTCTTCGGATTCAGTTTTTTAACGCTTCTCAGAATTTCATTTAGAGGATGAGACCTTACCATCCAAAAGAGGAGCTTTATAAAGTACCTCCGGCTTCGAAACTGAAACTGTTGGAATGTCGCGGAAGAGGACGTATTAGAATCAAACCGAATGGAACAAAGGTGACGAATCTTCACCCTCAATATTTCTATTTGATGCTTCTAAACCTGAGCCACTTACAGCACTGTAAGTGCTCCCACTAGACCAATAAAAGCAAAACCGTGCATTGGCCCTTTCTTTATGCTATTTCTTTGGAAATAAAATCCGACCACTGAAAAACATCAATTGGAAAAGAAAAAAAAACTCTACCGTCAAAGGGCTCCTGAAGGCCTGAGTCTGAAGCCTTCGCTTATCAGTCAAGCCAACCACTAAAACTTTTTTTTTTTTTTGCTTCATGCTGGCTGCCCCAATACGCTAAATACTAGACAAAACCACGTCCACTGAGTGATTAGGGTGGATTATTCTTTATTTTAGGGCAGCAAAGTTGGTTTGCATGCACTTAGTTTCTTTTATTTACCCTTTTGTCATCGCAATCGTTCAATGCTGCCCCCTGGCAGATGGGGTTCCCCATCTGCCAGGGGGCTTTGGAAGCACCACGCAAAACATAAGGTAGGTGCATGGGGCGGCATAAACCATGGAATACCCCATCTGTATGTAGCAATCTGGAATTTTCTATTGTATCTGCATTTTAACAGTAAATCTTACCTTGTGAAGTTTGAAGGCATACCAGTGTACTTCAAGGAGGGTTCAGTGTTTTTGGGGTTTGTTTTCATTCGAATTGGGGGGCGTTTTTTTTCAGCATCTAGGTTTTAGTAATAGACAAGAAAATTGGCCTTTAACGGGGCTCGGCATTTGTCAGGGCTTGCATCAAAGTAAACGGGACAAAGGCACGAGATCCGCCAACTTCAGGAAACATGCGCGCAACCCGAATACTTGAAAAACATTCCGGTATTGAGAGGAATGCGACGGGGCAATGGGAGTGGTTCCATGAGAAAGAAGCGGTCTTGCGGACGGTTCAGTGCGGGCTGTGTTCCGGGTCAACACAAAACACAGCTATCGATAAAGATTTCTTCCCCTAAACCTTGGCATTCCCTCATTCATGAACAGCTCCAATTCGTGGGTTTTTTGGTTTTACACCTATATCAATGAAAACAAATCGGGAAGGGGGAGGGGGGGTGTAACTTTCGGCGGTTAGTTGGTACGTACGTAAAACCCCGGTTATATATAGGGTTCTACGTTTCCGGTGAGAACCAATAAATACCAAAAGGTAACCCTTGAGCCCTTTGAATCAAAATAGGGAGAAACCTAAAAATCTCTAATCGAACAAGAAAAAAACCATTCACTGAAATTAATCTTCATCTACAGGTTTATTTTGTGTTCGTCCAAGACACAGTCCCACCGATTTGTCCGCCAGGCCGTTTCTTTCTTTGAGAGCCATACCCATTGTCCCATTCCCTTCCCTCATCGGTACCGGGACGTCTTCCGGGTAATTCGGGTCATTCTCACGCTCTCTAGAGGTCGGGGAAGCCCACGCCCCGTTTTCTTCAACGTAAACCTTCGATTCTTTGTCAGATGCCAAAATCGACGCCAGAAAACGCGAAACCCGTAGAAAAAGCCCCAAAGTGATTAGCCCCAAAAAAGCACTCTCCAACCGAAACAAAATAAAGCCCAAAAGTGAGGAAGCCCAGTTACGAACGACGTCTGACTGCAAGTACAGATGCCCGAAGCAGAGACACCCACCAGTGGAGGTCGTTGGGTAGCGTGCTGTCGGCCGTCCCACCGAAGACGTAGAGGTGGCGATCGAAGGCGACCATCGTGTGCCCGTAGCGCCTCGTCGGGGGAGCCGGCGCCCCGCGCAATATGTGCTCCGTCGATATTCTGCTCCAGCTGAAAGCAGACGGGAGAGCCATCTTCTGGTTGCCACAAAAGACGACAAAACCGGAATTCAAGAAAAGCAAAGGCGGTGGAAACAGTATGCCGTCGACGTTCTTAGAGGCTGCCACGGCACTCTTCGCTAGGACACCAGAGTTAGGCTTCGATAAGAATGCAACCCTGCATTAAAAAGGTCGAAGTGACAGCCGAACAATTTAAGAAGTGAGTGCAAGCTGCTCAAAAATGTATTTAAGTTGGAGTACTAAATAATGACTTCTGAAACTATATTTATAAAATACTGAGGTACTTTCAAAAGTACTTAAAGGGGTGGTGCAACTATATTCAGTTGGAATGTTTTTCACTTTACACAAGCTTAGTGGCACTAGTGGGACTCAAGGATACTTGCACGCAACGCCACTGGCCAAGAAACTCCTTTGTTGCAGTGTAGTTTCAACGACAAAAGCAATCGTTTTCAGTCAATCTCTCCTTTGCAAAACTTGACGATGTAACTGGCGGTTGCAGTACGCCCCAATTACGATATTTGAATGCGGTTCATACATTGGACCCGAGCATTGCGTGCGCACTCGATTTGGGCTCGTGATAATTACTAGCTGGAGAAGCATTCGGGTAGTGGCCCGTGTCCAATCGCTGCAACGACGACAACAGCCGAGCCATAACGATCTCTAGAACTCAGCGCGTGTCCTGCGCCTTGCCAACCCCAGCGCGTGGCTCTGATAAACATTGGCGGCATATAATCGGCTCCAGATCGCGTGGCTGCTTGTTCTGGCTGATGGTTGAGGGGGTGATGTCTTTAGTCATAAGAAAGGCACTTCGGATTGGCACCAAGTGAGCCTAGCTGGTGCTCACAATTTGTCCTTGAAGTGGAACTGAAAAAGGCTGTTGGTGATCTTGGCCCCACTCTGGCCGGAGAAGACGAACATGCTGTCCCGGGCCACGGCCACCGGGAAGTTGCAGCAGGTGGGGGGGCAGTCCCCCCGCTGGGGAACCTGGGCGCGCGCAAGTATGCGTTAGAGCCACACCGCTCGAGGAAAACGTTTTGTTCTGGCCCCCCAGTTTTGTTGCATATGGGGTAAAGCATACCTTGATCAGGTCGGGTGTGTCTAGAACAAGACAGGTGATCAAAGTGTGGGATATTTTTTCAATATAAGAGATTAACTGCCGTCCCCTTCAACGTACCGTAAAATCCCGAGAGATGCCCCGCCCCCTATTTTTGGCACGATTTGCTATTTTCTTTAAACACTCAAAGATGGCCCACATCTATACTTGGTTTCAGCTTGAGTCGAGACGCAGCCGATGCTACAGGCGCGAGCTACGGGCTTTCAGTGACCCTGCCAAGCATGCACTCTTATGCAGTGCAAACACTCTTCAGGGGCACATGCTCGCGCTTGTAGCATCGGCTGCATCTGTATTTAAGCTGAAACGAAGTATGTAAATTGCAGGCCCTGGTCAATGTCGGCCTCGTCAGAAATGGCGTTACTTAGCAACGGCGGGAGATAAGCAAATATTGCTTGCTGGAAAGGACAGTTCCTCTTTAGTTCATCGCCCATGCCTGCAATTACAAGTTTCGCAGGTCACGAAATTTAAAATTATCATTTTTTCAACTCTCTCTTATTGCGCACCAAAAGTTAGCCCACTTCTTATTTTCAACCGGTTTGCTTTCGATTTTAGGTCTCGGGATATTACGGTACTCACCTCCCCTGTCTGTACACCGTCGCGTACAAACTTTACATGACTTCGTGTAATGCCACTCGACACCACGATGCCGCACGACGCCGCCGAGTCACATCGCCTCACAATGTCACACTCTATGCGTCTCCCGATTCATCAGATACGATCAAGATGTGCCTATATTTTCCCACGACCTACGTCATCCTACCTCTATACTACGACATTAGTATAGAGGTAGGATTCCGCGTTTTCGGAGTTTATTTCTTGTCAAATTCGGACGGCGTTTTTCGGTGTTTATTATTTGACGAACATTCTGAGTTTAGGGGAGTTTATTATTTTTATCCGATTCCCAATTCTTCGAAATTCTGAGCTGAATTTTTGCACTGTTTTCTATTTTTCAAAAATAAATATAAATAATACTGGGGTGAACGTATGTGTGCTAGGCTCGAGAGAACGCGCTTGTATCAATAAATACTTCTTGAGCAAGATTTGACGTCGGCGCCATTGCCATTGGCAATACTAATTTGTCCCGCGGAAAAAGTTGCACGCGGGTGTTGCTTCGATAAATGTCGGTACCTTAAAGTCAATAAACTCCCAGGGGTAGTTGCTGGGAAGCTCGTAATCATCCAATCCTATCCGACAACATAGCCCGTGGTTGTGCAGAGTAGAGTGTAGAAGGGTGCAATATGGAAGCATCAACTGCCCACCCCCTCTTCCCCCTTCTATGAAGTATCTATGGTTCATAGCTTTCAATGTTACAAAAACACAACTTCTGAGAAGCACAAATACTAGTATCACCCAATCTGTAAACCGGAAGAGTGGCCTTTGTAATGACCCGAAAGTACAGTAACATATTGTTCCGAATGAACCTTGACGAGACGAGTGGTAAGATCCCCTTTGTCAAAGGTCCAAGATTTGAGAGATAAGTGGGGTGACATTTTCTCCGGATCATTGACCCTGTGCACTGACCAAATTTAAAATACCATCTTTTTTTGTCTTTTTTTCTAGCATTGGGTACATTGAAATTTGGAGTTCATCGAATAAATCTGAATTTAAGAAAATTTTACCGGTTGGTGTTTTTCTGAGTTTTTCTGGTTTATCTGAAAACGCAGAACCCCTATTTATAACTAAAATTTGTGTTTTCGGAGTTCACTTCTAATGAAATTAGGGGGGTGTTTTTCGGAGTTTATTTTTGGCTGGAACTTCGGGGTTTATTGAAGCTTATTTTTTATTAGATACCCACTTTCCTGATATTCAAAGATTATTTTATTGTGTTTCCTATTTTTAAAAAAATACTTAAAATAAAATAAATGAAATTCGGGTGCCATCTCCCGCTATGCTGAAACACTTTGACGAGCTAAAAGGCAAACCCCTTTTGTCAGTAGTTTAAGATTTCAAAAGAAACTAAAGTGGTATCTCCTCAGGTCTGCGAACCCTGTGCTCTCGTGAAGTTTAGTTGTAAAACACCGGCTTTTTTGTGTTTTATTTTTTTCACTGTGATTTTGACATTTTTGGACAAATCCAAATTGACAAAAATTTATTGGCAAGTATTTATCAGATTTTTTTGGATCTGAAAACAGGGAACCCTATATAGTAGAGGGTACTTGAAAGTAAAAGATACATACCGCAGGTTAAGCAATAGTTGTACCCACACCACCCATTAAAATTCAGAAGTGTATTTGAAATCTTTAGCAAGAGGAAGACAAACGACTTGCCTCCCAAGCAAACACTCGAAAGCACACTCCACAACTACTCTTCATTACGCAAAAACCAGTCCTTTGTATTTGTTTTATTTTTTTAGACTTGAAAGGCTTTCACAAAAACTATGATTAGTGCAGTGAGAGTGCTAATCAGTTAATTTTCATGTCTGCCAATACCCTTTCCAAACGAAGCGCAAAAAGACGCCGACGTCATGTCCGGGCTAACAGTGTCGTCGCACTGCTCACATCCGACGCAGCTTTGCTCTTAAAACAGGGCAGCTGTGGACAGATGTAATGGGGAACCACCTCTTCTCTACACAGATTACAAGTTCAGAGATCAGGGAATGACTCCCAATGAGACAGGGGGGGCCATGTGAAGAGTGCTGCAGAAATGAAGTATTCCAAAAAAAACGTGAGGGTGACAGCACTCGCCTCTTCCCAGGTCCGGGAGTCTCCCAAGAGGGACATGGACCACATGTCGTTGAGGCGGGCGTTGCCGTCGTAGCCGGCAAAGATCCACAGCCGGCCGTCGTACACCGCTGCTCCATGCGCGGATCGTGGCACCGGCATGCTGCAAGCGGGCGACGGGCGCCAGGCAACCGTGGTTGGTTTAGCCGTATACAGAAAGTTCTACTGCTACGCAGGGGGGTAAAGAGAGAGCTGGAAAACGGCAAATCGTAAACCGTGAAGGTAGAAAGCTGCTCAAGGCGACATGACACCATCAGAGGTGAAGCCAGAAGCGTGGAGGGACATGCCCCCAACGATGACCACAACCAAGAGACGCTATTGGACAAAAAGGAGAGCCGACTCAACAGCTGTTCTTGTCACCCTCGGGGAGCCCCAAGGGTGACCAAAACAGCTGTTCAGTCAGTTCTCCTTTTTGTCCAATAGCGTGTCTTGGTTTTAATCACCGTTGGGGCCGTGTCCCTCCAGACTCGTGGCTTCACCTTTGATGGTGTTATGTCACATCCAGAAGCTTCCTACCTCCATGTCGTAAGCGCTGCGTTGCTGGCCCCGAGAGAAAGAACGAGAAAGAGAGCGACAAAGAAGCGGAGAAAGAAAGCAGACGATAGGTTAGGCGTGTTTGTTTTGCCGGTGCGAGTTGAAGCTGTTCGAGTGCTCGTCAACATTATTTATTTTTATACCTTGCCCGACGCTGGTGTTTCCGAGCAGAATAAAGTTAGAAAAGTACTAGATACGGACCTTGCAAGTGATGCTTTCCGGCTTCTTTGTGTATATCCAAGTGTCGCCAGCATTATGGCCCCATCAGGACCACTGATGTCAGCGTCTATGCCCCACCATTCCAAAGTGGTTGAAATGCAAAGGACCTTTCCCTCTAGATTATTATATTAACCCTCCGCTGCTACCTAAAGAGTGGTAATTTATTAGCAGGCCGTTACTACTAGAGTCACTCTAAGCACAACCTTTCGGTATCGGCACTTTTCCACCATCATTTAAGCCGTCGTGGTAGACATCCGTCCAGTCACGTCACGCGACGTCTGCTTGTTATGCAAGATGCTGTCACTCCGTTGCACCACGCACACTCTAGTACTAGGGGACACTGACAATGTGATTACTCACCCCTGTGGTGCTTTTTAACAACCAGGAGGGCAGAAAGAGCCTTGGAGCCCTTTCGTTAAACAAGTCAACAAAAACCGCTGACAACCGGCAAGAGCAACCTATGCAACAATATGGCCTCAATGATGTTACTCCAAAGCATAAATTATATAGCGGCTCTGGTCATCACCAGATTCACATTTATACACGATAAACCCCTAAAAAATGTTTCATTGCTACCCTGTAGACCAGGGGTTCTGAAACTGGGTTCCACGAAACAAAGGGGCTCCGCGAGCTGGTGTCATGGGTTCCACAAGCACCCAAACTGCGACCCCCTGCCCTCCACCCCCTTCTATCCCCGTAGTTTAGCCTATCCAAAGCTTACATGCCTGCTTGCTGCTTGGTCGATATGCGCTCTTATCCACAGTACACTAGACCGCTCCCCGCACAGACGCTACTCATTTCGCGTCTGCGGCATGCGAAGGAAACATGTTCTGACTGTTCTGCTGTGCGCCGCCGTGCCGTGCCAGCTACCCGTGCTGCCATTTCATGACCGCGTCAAGGGAGGGCGTTGCACATTCTACAAGCGCCTATAATTGTGCTTGTGTTGCCTCTCGGTAGATGGTGAAGGAGTGCTGGGTGCACAGAGCACGCTAAAAAGGCAAGTGCGGATTGGCGGAACGCGGGAAGCACTAAGGCAATGGACAGCACCGGGAGTACCTCGCACCTTGCGAAAAGCAGACGACGCTGCTCGCACGCGTCTCTGGAGCAGTTCAGTTTAGCTTCACTCTCGGCGAATTTACTACTTCCGACGTATGATGAGAAAGAAAGCAAAACTAAGCATATTGCGACAGTTATTTTTAGTGTGGATTTATGGAAACTGGAGGAAATCCCCAGTGCGTTATTTGCGCGAAGCTCCAGCCAATAGCTCGATGAATCCAGCGAAGCTTTTGCGTCCTCTCGCAATGAACCAGCCAGCATACAAGGGCAGGACAACGAACTTCTCTTCAAAGAAAAAACACCAACAGGAAACTTAGGGACTAGATTCACCCAGATAGGTGAGAAAATTTTGCAAGAATTCGAATTGAGGGTTTTGACATGGGCATTTCTAGTTTTGGGAGTCAGTATCATTGTTGAGCAAAACAAAGTTAACATACCTGCCAAGCTACAGAATTCCAAAGCAAGTGAAGCCTCACTTGATTTGCGAGGATCTGATCGTGCCTTGCACTCAAGATGTAACCAAGACTGCGATAGGAGAGGAGCGTTTAAAGAAGGTGCTCCAGATACCGTGCTCGAATGACACTGTTTGCCGACAGATTCGTGAAATGGCTTCGGACTTAGAGAGCCAAGTGATTGAACGTGCCAGAAACTCCTCGAAGTTTGCTATTGCCGTGGACGAGAGTTGCGTTTCTGGTAGTCCCCAACTGATGGCATTCGTGAGGTACCTCTCAGACAATGCGACTGTGCGGGAGTTTATTTGCTGTCTTGAGCTAAAGACCATCGCCACGGGAGAGGACATATTTGACGCACTAAATGAGTTTTTTGCAAGTGGAGAACTCAGCTGGAACAGATGCATCGCTGTTCGTACTGATGGTGCAAAAGCCATAATTAGGCACATGAAGGGACCGATAGGATTGATCAGACAAGTTAAAAGCATCGGCTTGTTCACCCACTACATGATTCACAGGGAAGCCCTAGCTTCAAAAGAGCTTAGCAGTGAGCTGTTGGTGGTCATGAACTACATTGTAAAAATTCTCAATACAGTCAAAGCCAAACCCAAAGCCATACGCCTTTCCAAGGCCCTGTGCAAAAAGATGTGTGCATCTCATGAACACCTGCAGTTGCACACGGAAGTGTGCTGGTTATAACGGGGGAATGTCATGAGCAGGGTCTTTGACCTGCTCATGACATTCCCCCGTGAGCTGGCTGCAAACTTTCCGAGGATCCAGTATTAGTAGAGCCATTTCTATGCAGCTCTTTTCTGCTGAGATTGGCACGCCTCACCGACATGTTTGAACACCTCAACAGGCTCAATCAGAACTTGCAGGGCAACCAAGTGACATTAGTGAGTGCCGCAGACCAGATTCGGGCATTTTGCAGTAAGCTGCAGAGCTGAATAAGCTCCATGAGCAGGGGAGATCACAACCCTTTCAAAAGATAGTGCTCTCATGAATCAAGCAACACCCTGTCTGCTTTGGATAAATCTGTCATCATGGCCCACCTCAGTACTCCCAGAGCCCATTTGGCTAATTTACTTTCCAGAGGCGTGCAATGTTCAGTGGCTTGTGTCATCTTTTCATGTCGACTCGCTCGCCACTTTCAACAGGGAGAGTGTTGAGCTCGAGAATGAGTTTCTCGAGCTCAGGGAAAGCGCTGCCCTCAAAGAGACGTTTGGCACTAATGTCGCTATATTTTGGATGTAGAGTGCATCACAGGCAATAGATAAGCTGTTTCCTTTTGCTACCACACATGCCTGCAAGTTCACCCTGGCCTACCTGAAGAACAAACGCAGAAATCGGCTGGACCTAACAGCCGATATGAGGCTGGCCCTAAGCGCGACTGAGCCACGGATTGAGCTGCTGTGGCCGGCAAAGCAACCTCACCCTCCACACTAATATGTATATATGTTTTACATTGTGCCCCAAGTTAACAAGATTGACTTCTTATTGCATCTGTAGTTCTTAATTTTGTCTTATTTTGTCATTGCAATTAACTATCTAAACGTCTTTATTGCCCAGTATCGTCAATCGGCAACAACTTCCTTAAGAATTTTCGAGGCTTGCTCGGGTTCCCGGAGACAAAAAAGTTTGAGAACCCCTGCTGTAGATGTTTGCTACAAAGGACCTTTCTTTTTTACACAGAATCGGTTACAGCAACTACACAAACACGTTTGAATCACAGAAAGGTCACTCAAAATTAGGCTTTTGCGAGCTTTGTTTCGCCCGAAGCTCTCTCCATGTGTCGCATAGCAAATATTTTTTTTTTTTTTTATATATTATTTATTTATTCATTGATACTACCACTTTCTTGTGGAAAGCGTCATAGGTTTCTGGGTCTAATCCTCAACAGAGAACACCCGAAAGGGACGTACCGGCCCTCAAACTTCCACTCAATCCACTGGCCGGTGGTGAAGTTGTACTCAAACAGGTCATTCTTGTTGGCCAGGTTGGAGTTGGAGTGGATGTCCCCGGTGTAGCCCCCTGGAGAGGAATGAATCAAACGATTACGCTTTGATGGCACAAAAGCGAGAGGGGCGACACCGCACCAACAGGGTAGAGTGAGACCGAGCACAAGCTTCTTGCGGGAACAAGGAACACGCATGGGCACTTTTCTCCGGTTGCAGAAGCCAGTCTGCTCGAGAATTTTGTGAGCACGGACAGTTCCAGTCAGTCCTAACGAGCAGTTGTAATCTCTATGGACACCGGCAGGATGAAATAGGCAGAGAGGCCTTTCACCTGTCCTGCCTCGGGTGCAAGTTTCTTACCTTCGACGGCACTTCAGCCTCCATCAAACTTCGAGCATGTGCGCACAGCCAAAGCATGGAGGAAGGCGTCAAGCATCTAATGGAGGCCAGGCACCCGAAAAAAAATGCTGTTGCCGATCTCACCCAATCGGTGATTATACTACATGTGGGTAACCGGCCTCTCCGAGGGAACCCTGTGGCGCACGTGCATTCGTGGCGTTTACGTCTAGCTTTCCTACTGTACCGGTTGAAACAGGGATGTTCAGTTGTAATGCTGGGGTATGTCACCTCTTAGTTGAGCAAGTTTTCAGAGCTTCCTATTTTGTCTGTAAGCCATTAACTTTCAACAGTGTAGCAGGTGTGTGAATAGAAAAGTATAGTTCTGCAAGGAAGTCACGATGGTACAATGAAACGTTCCAGAAATATGTGGCGCTTCCCGTCGTGTTTTTGACGCACTGCGGCAATTCGATGTATGGAACGTGAAGGACCGCCCATAAATAGAAGGAGCGGTTCGTGTTTGTTTAGCATCTTGTGATTTCAGAATGCAAAAGAAAGCGGAACGATAACGAAGCAGGGTATATATGGACTTCACAAAATATTTGCTCCTTTTTCTCTGTGTTGTGAGCTCGCAGTGATAAGAGAGAAGTCAGCCGTTTGGTCCGGAGCTCACAAGCCGGACCAAACGCACGTCGGAATGACCCCACAATTCCCCGAGTCGCGCGGTGAACTGTGGGACTGACGGGGAGACTCGTGAGACTGTCCGGAAAGACCTATTTTTCCACTAAATTTAACGGGGAAATTGTGACATCACAAACAACGTGATCGTTGCACCTTTGCCAAATTTTTAAAGGAGGTGAAAAACGATGGTGTGTAGATAGTATGCGCGAAGCAGAGTGTACAGTGCCTCGACTGTCGCTGCAGTTTATTGGTAGGAGAGCGCGAGGAAGCGACACTTTGTTTTTTGTACGAAGAGAGCACCGCATTTTTTCCTTTCCGAGACAACTTTGACGACATGGTCAATTGACTTTTGGACACTAGGTTGATTTTTCGTTTTGGTGAGAACCTAGGAAGGCTTAAAAACAAGAACCACTGGGCATAAAATTTCATATTTACAATGTAGCACAAAGACACAACAGGGAAAAGACAGACATAGGAAAGAATGCTACCATTCTTTCGTATCTCTGTCTTCGTCCTGTTTCAGTGATGTGATTGGCCTAAGCCGTTTTGGAGCACCTTTCGGAGCAGCCAAAACAGTGTTTTGGAGCAGAAAAAGTGGCCTTTGGAGCAGCCAAAACAGTGTTTTGGAGCAGCAAAAGTAGCTTTTAAAGCAGATATTCTAATAAAAATTAAAATATTTGTCGTAAATGCTGGACACGCGAAGAGAATCTTGCTCGCCGAAATAAACCAATTATGGTCAAGTTCGGCCACCTGGGAGTCTTTCAAGATGTAACTGAAATGCCAATGACATGACACATTTCTTTTTGCTTTTCGAAACATTCTGCAAAGCTGGAGCAAGCTTTGCTTTAGCTTAGGGTAGTAATGAATGTCCAATTTCAATGTCTCCAAAGAGACATTGCGACATCCCACAAGTGTACAGTGCTGTAGGCGTTGCCAAGCAGTTCCGAAAAACCGCTTGCCACCGTTTTACTGATTGCCGACGTGCCAGATTATCGTCAAAAGTAATTAAATGTAAAACAATGAATTGCAAGAGTCCTGGCTGGTGCCTCTGTCGTGCAATTATGTTCGCATCGTTGGTTCGCATGCACATGAGGGCAACTCCGGCAGGCTTGCAGGTGCACGTGCTTCGTCGCGCGAGCGAAACGGCTGTTCGATCGAAACCATGCCTCTCCGCTCCGTCACCAACTGGTTGCCAAAAGTCTATGCAAAATGTAACTGCCCAGCATGCGACAAAAAAGAGTCCAGCGCCGCGTGCTTGCAAGGCCGGCAGGCGAGGTACGAGCTAAACACAGAAAAAAAAGAACCAGAGCGCATTGATGCAAGACATCGCGAGCCAGGGTCGCTTTGTGCAACGACTGAACTCGAGACAAACATGCGCGCTCTGCGGGTTCAGCGTGCAGACATTCCCTTCTTTGCTTTAGCTCACTTCAACTTTTCTTCGCGACACATTTTTCACGTACCGGGGTCCCTCTCGAAAGAAAGCCCACCAATAGAAACCTAGGTAATCAATACTTCGACACAGCAGTCTTTGAGTTAGAGAGGGATTTTTGTAGCAGCGTATGTTTTAAACAAGAATATGAATGTTGATGAACATGCGGCGGTCCTTATGTTTCAGTTTAGGAAGCTCCATATCTCCAACGTCGTGTGGCCGTTGATTTCAGGAGCGAGAGCTTCAGCTCAAAAAGTAACTCCCGCCGCGCCGAAACATAGTTTCGTTTCACAGCGTCACGTCATGGCTGGTATCCAGCACACTAGCGTCGCAGCACACACACACGCCGGCATCTATCGTTAAAAAAAAATGAAAAAAAAAACGCGAGACGAGATTTACGCTTACGAGACGACGAGAGCGTGAAAGAAGAGACGGCATGGCGGAAAAAACCATGCAAAAAATTATGGACGATTGATGCAGGGTATTTTGTGTCGGGTGGCCGTTTGCGCCGCCTAGCTCATGCATGCTCAGTTACGGTGATGATGATGATTACGAGTTTATTGGCGCAGCAGCAACGAGGGCCATAATGCGCCAAACTTAACGTATTTCGAGCATAATATAACAAAAGTTTACTTTGAGGCTACATATTTACAAATGGTATAAATATCCTGTTTGTTTTAAATAGTCTAAGACACGGCTAAAAGGAACTAAAGGTTTATCACCAAGCAAAAACGAAGGATGAAATGGGAGATGATCCCTAAACAGTTCGAGAAAACATGATTGACGGAGTGGTTGATGGGACGAACATTGCCACAAAATGTGCAACACGGTCAGAAGCTCTCCACAATGTTCACATAATGCAACATCTTCACCACGAAGCAGATACTGATGTGTCACGCGGGTGTGACCTATTCTTAGACGGCACAGAAGAACCTCCACACGACGTTCCCTGTTATATGAGCTCTCCCAAACATCCAGAAGGGGCTTGATAATGTGAAGTTTATTGTTGCTCTCTGTATCCCATTCCAGCTGCCATTTGAGAAAAATAGATTTCCTCAGAAGTGGTTTCAAATCTTGGTAGGGTAAGCAATTGAATGTTATAGACGAGCCTCGGGCAGACACGGCCAATTTATCCGCCTCTTCATTGCCCAAAATCCCAACGTGGCTTGGCACCCAGCAGAACTTAATGTCCCGACCGCGTCGCAGGGCGCTATTGATCTTATAATGTAGATGTTGTGCAAGGCGGTTCTTTGTGGGTATCAGGGAGGACACAGCCAATAAGGCACTTTGTGAGTCGACAAAAATTACAGCTTTCATTATACTATTGTCGAGTATATGTTCGACCGCTAGTAAAATAGCATAAAGCTCTGCAGTGAAAATGCTTGCCCTACAGTCAACTTGTGTGGCTTTGCTGTAGGAGGCGGAGTACAGAGCACACCCTACAAAAGACGACGATTTGGACCCATCTGTATAAAACTCCAGGTAGTCTGCATATTTTTGTTGCAAGGAGAGGAACTCCTGCCGGAGAATTTGTGGTGAAATGACCCTCTTACTGTATTTTGCGAGTGACCAGTCACAGAAAATCGGCAGAGCATCCCAAGGGGCAACCCTACGAGTGTTTTTAAGCAAGGGAATCTCATGAAGGGGGATATTAAGGGATTGACAAGTACTTTGCAAACGGAGGCTTAGTGGTCTAACAATGCTCGGCTTGTTTTCGAAAAGCTGTGAGCTTCTGCAAGTATGAAGGGCACTGTAGGAGGGATGTTTTGGATTTGAAAATACTTTGTAAGCATAAGAGACGCTGAGGTACTGCCTCCGCTTCTCGAGGGACATTTGATGCGTATCAACATACAAACTCTTCACAGGAGATGTGCGAAATGCACCTGTAGAAAGTCGTAGTCCAAGGTGGTGTATTGGGTCAAGCATCTTAAGAGCAGATGGCCGCGCTGACCCATATACTACTGCACCATAGTCGAGGCGGGATCGAACTAAGGAGTTATACAGTTGCAGGAGACAGCGCCTATCAGAACCCCATGACATATGCGACAGCACCTTTAGGATACTTGATGACATCAAGCATTTCCGTTTTAAAGTTTTCTGATGGGGCACAAAGGTAAATTTCTTGTCAAAAATCACACCCAAAAATTTGTGTTCTTGCTGGACTGATATTTCAATGCTGTTAAGATGCAAGGAAGGATCAAGAGACAATCCCCGGCGTAATGAAAAAGGAACGCAGACCGTTTTTTCAGGAGAAAATTTGAAGCCATTTTCGTCTGCCCACTTACACATTCTATTGATTGTAAGTTGCAACTGTCGTTCACAACTGGAGAGGTTACAGGAAGACACAGAGATTTGCACATCATCCACATATAGAGAGTAATTTACTGATGATGGCATAACCTTAGCTAGACTGTTAATCTTTACAGCAAAGAGGGTAACGCTCAGCACTCCTCCTTGAGGAACACCATTTTCTTGAGAGAAAACATCTGACAGTGTGGAGCCCAATCGGACTTGAAAAGTTCTTTCACTGAGAAAACTCTGTATGCACTGAAGCATGCGGCCCCGCACACCACAGTCGTACAAGTCACGAAGTATTCCGTACCTCCATGTGGTATTATATGCTTTGTGCAAATCAAAAAACACTGAGACACAATGCTGCCGGTGTACAAATGCCTCACGTATAGCCGTCTCTAGACGAACCAAATGATCTGTGGTCGCTCGTCCCTCCCGAAAGCCGCACTGGTTTACATCAAAAAAATTCTCAGTCTCTAAGAAATGGACGAGACGACGATTCACAAGCCGCTCATAAGTCTTCCCTAAGCAACTTGTGAGTGCGATGGGGCGATAGCTTGTAGGAGTGGAAGGGTCTTTCCCTGGTTTCAAAAAAGGGATTATGTGGGCATGTTTCCAGCAACGAGGAAAGGCAGCAGCTTGCCATAGATGATTAAAAAAAGTTAACAGACCGTTCATAGATTCAGGGGACAGTTTCCTTAACATTTCATAGTGGAGTCTGTCTGGCCCTGGTGCAGACTGCTTTTTTGCACCAAGAGCAACCTTGAGTTCGCACATTGTGAATGGTCTATTGTAAAAATATGAACCACCCTCTGACATCGAGATGGGCTGCTTTTCAACAGTCGACTGAAACTTCTTAAATTTTTCGCTAAAATTTGAGGAGCTACTAATAAGCTGAAAATGCTCCCCAAGAACATTTGCATGATCTTGCAGCGATACAGAGGGGAAAGAAAACAGAGGAGTTCGGAAAGATTGGTAATCTCCTTGAACTTTCCGCAGGCGATCCCACACTTCTTTAGCTGGAACAAAGCTATTTAGAGAAGATATATATTTTTTCCATGATGTCCTCTTCGCCTGTTTCCGTGTCCAACGTACCTTGGCCCTATACTTTTTAAATTCAATCAGGTTAAAAGCAGTGGGATAACGGCGAAATATACCCCATGCCTGGTTCTGTTTCCTGCGAGTGACAGTGCAGTCCTCATTCCACCAGGGTTTGCATCTCCGGGGTAGGACACCGGATGTTTGAGGAACAGAAGATGCAGCAGCATTAATTAGACATTCAGTGACAAACATTGTCGCTTCCTCGGGGGACATACTGCGAAAGAGCGATGGATCCAGTACGGCATTTAAACCAAAAAGAGCCCAGTCAGCCATCTCTAATTTCCACTTCGGAAGGCGGGTCGCAAGCGACGGAAGAGGTATTGAGCTTTCTAAAATTATGGGGAAATGATCGCTGCCAAATGGATTATCTCAAACCTTCCATGAAAAGCACGGAAGTAAAGCTGGTGATGATATGGAAAGGTCTATTGATGTAAAGGTGTTATGAGCAGCACTAAAAAACGTTGGCTCCTTTTTATTCAGAAGACAGAGCCCGGAAGATAATAAAAGCACCTAACACCAAAGGTGTAGGCGCCCCCTGCGGGGTGCTCAGTTACGGTACTTAGTTTAGTTTTGGTTTTGAAATACGACCAAACTTGGCCCTTTGGCACAGGCTTGGCGCAGATTACCCATATTTTGGCAAAATGTAGCAGGATGTAGCAGGGTTAGCCCCTTGGCGCAGTTTGGCGCAATTGGCGCAGCCATCACACCACTGCTGTTTTGTCTTTGCGCGACATTGCAAAATGCAAAACCAAATAGGTAGCACAACAGCTGATTTTGATAAAATTTCAGTATGAAGTGTAGAATGTTTCTGACAATACACACTTCCTAATCAAACTAAATTTAACCCTTTCAAAGTAAAGCTTTCTTTTTTTCTGTATAAATAAACAACATACTATGACGCTTGGGGCTTTTTTGTATTTTCTTTTTAAGCAGAAAGTAGAAAGAATAAGACAATACACTGTTTTTTTTTTAATTATCTAGAGGAAGCGCATACAGCGCTTACAAGCTTTCCAGGTTGAGAAGCATTGAAAAAAAAATAGTGAACGAAAAGTTGTCTTTCTTCTATTTGGATTCAATTGGGAGCAACCACTTCAAATCCACTTTTACAACATTGAGATTCCAACGGCCTCAGATTCTCAACCGGAGGAACTTTACAAAACTTCTTCGTCGGAGGATGAGCTCTCATCCTCTGAATCCGATTCAGAGAAGCATTGCGAGGTTGAATCGAACAGGCCGACGCACCGATAGCCATATCGCCAAGGCAGTCCAGCAGTGACACACAAAGGGGCCATCTCGAGGTCATGGAAACAAAACAACGAAAGTTCCCAAAACACGTAACAGACCAAGGTGCGAGCATTTAGCGTTTAGGTGGAAACTTTCAAATGAGTACTCACCGCCGTACACGTACGGCAGTGGCATTTAAAGAGTTAATGGCTTCAAGCAAACTGAAATGGTGCATTCAACGAAAGCCCGAATGCATTCCAAGACTTACCAAAAACAAACATGCTCTTCTCGTGGACAACCGCCGAGTGGTGGTAGCGTGGCGCAGGAGGGGAGCCCGTGGTGAACGCCCTGCACAAGCGTCATGAATCTTCTGTCACGACAATCTGTTTGCACTAGGGCTCCTAAATCAGCCACCGCCATTTTGGTGTTCAGTGCAGAGGGGGCGTGACCGGCAATCGTTACAATTAGAAAAAGCGACTTCCTGAGTTTTAGAGACGGTACCAGGAGGCATGGGTGACACTGCCTCGCTCTGTCGCCAACTCTTTCAACATTTCTGGAGGACGGAAAAGCATGAGACAACTGGCATCCATGACCTTGAGCACCAAGATGGCTGGCGTGTTGTCACTCCGAAGACAGCTCACTTAGCAGCTTTTGTCTACGCTAGGAAGCCACACTGGATTAACGAAGAGTCCTAAGTATCAGCGGCACGTCGGCCATGAAGCTCACCTTCCCCAAGACTTGTCTCGGACGTCGAAGCGCAGCAGGTCGTTGAGCATCTGCTTGCCGTTGTCGCCCCCAAACACGTAGATGGCGTCTTTGTAGGCCACCACCGTGTGCTTGCTTCTCCTGCCGGGCACCGTAACAGAATGACGAGGAAAACAGGAAAGGCTTCAACTAAAAAAACTTATAACAACTGCGATAGAATTTTATTAAGCATCTTAGTTTCAGTAATTATAACAAAGCAGCCCGTTAACCTTGCCCCCAAAGCAAGGATAGGAGTGCTTTAAAGCTATACCTAAAAGACGAGACAAACAAAATAATAGCTGTTTATTATTTTTTTTTAAATCTAGGAGTTATTATTTTTAGAAATATGCTGGTTTAGGAGGTTTCGATATGAGGATACGCGAGTGCATGCCCGCAACAAGTGGGGGTCAAGCAAAAAAAGCTATATCCTGTTGGCTCTGCTGAGCTGCAGTGAGCTAGATTGAGATTCTCCAACTTCCCTTTCGTACCCAATGTGGATCTTTTGCTACCAAGTCCATTCAAAGAAGCTTCCCCCTCTCCTTCCCGACGCAGTCAACATTTCACCAGATAAATCCTCAAACGTAGCTTTCTGACAGTTGGCACCAATTCTTTCAAATATTTTGCACCGAACAATACATCCAATATCTGTTAAATACAAAAAGTTACATTGTATGCTATATGGTACAATTAGGACACCCATAGAAGTATTAAACATCCCTAGTTTACCCAGCCCATGCGAGCGGAGACGATAAAACCAAGGCTTCAAACACGCCGCCCGTGACTCTCAGAGACGTGGTCTGCAAGCATCCCGCAGCTGCAGGCCCCTGTTCCCCATACCTTGAGCATCATAAATAATAGTTTCATATCGTCGACACCTTTTTGCTCGCGAGGAGCTCTGTTCATACGGCACGCTCACACATTTTGAAATGTTCTCTTTTTTTTTTAGACTGAGTACAGGTTCATCTAAATATTTGCTTCTCTGCCTTTTCTCTTGTAAATCAAATTTTCAACAATACCATTACTAGGCTACAGGGGCGAGCTTTGATCAAAGAGGCATATCGGCTGCATGAACTCTCGCTTAGCAACAGCAACTGCCCAAGATAAAGCTATGAGTTGGTGCTTCTTTCTAGCCATCCAGAAATACCATTAAAATATATGCATTTTCTTATAATGCTGCTATAAAAATCATCAGAAAAGCAAAAAGAGCCGTAGGAAGAGATAACTTTTTCCATGCCTGTCGGGCCTAATAAACTGTGCGACAGGGCAATGACCAGTGCGCTCGCTTTCGCTTTATTAAAAACTGCCAGTACATTTGCATTTTACGTTCCATAATCACATCAGGCGCAGGCCCAAAATAGTCTTATATGCAAATCAAAGCTAAATATGGCACTGGCAAAACGGCCAGCTTAAAAAAAGCACAGCACAAGTTTGTTTGTTTTCTCTAAAAAACCTCTGGGGTGTTGTTAAAAGCATCGGCTGCATTGCAGTGTAAAACAACATTGGTATTTTTGGGAGTTTTTTTGTGTTTTTCGTCCGAAAATAGCAAAATACTGCCTGCCTGCCCCTGCCCCTGCCTGCCTGCCTGCCCCTGCCTTTGCCTTTGCCCTCCCCCCCCCCTAACATTGGCCTTCAACTTTTCGGAGGTGGAAACTCAAACGAGTTCAAGGCTCCCGTGATAAGGTGATACTTGTGCTGGATGTCATGCCTAGAGTTGCTACAAAGGTACAGCGCTCCCCAAACTTAGAGCCGCCACGAGGTTATGTGTCTTTGGCCCTTTTTGTGCTATTCCTGGGTCTACCTGCCTAACTACATGGTGAGGTTGCGACTCCCCAGCCATAACCCAGCCTGGGGTTGACATTCCAGGTGCTGCGGTAACAAATTTAGGTTTAAGTAGAGGGCAATAAATTATAATTTGGGTGACTGAGTGCCGGCGTTAATTTTGAGGGGCACTGTACCCGTATCCCAAAAAGACCTAACCAGCAAATATGACCACTATTGGGAGCATGCGACACCTATGGGGGGGCACGCCTCTCTGCTTTCGCAGCTGGTTGGCAGCACCACCAGTGAAAGGGTCCACGTTACGTCACTCAGCGAAGCACCGCTTGCTCCAACCTATCCTAATGTGCCCGCAGCGTCTCGGCCATCTGTGCGCCTTCCCGTGGCCACATTTCTCGATCTCAATCCGGAGTAAAGGTTTGGCACCTTGTCATTCAAAACCTACCATGCCTACGTGTTATATGCTATTCGACCCGCAGGAGTTGCTTGGAGTTCAAGTTCGATTGTGTATCCCACAGTTGTAAGCGGCACCGACGGTACTAGACCGCCATGTATTTTGTTCATCTGTGCTGGAAAATGCCCCTACGAAGCATTTGTGCATTCCACGGTCTAAAAATCACTACGAGACGACATGCATCCGTGCCAGTAATTTATAAAATCTGCGTGAGAAGTATTTTTCTTTCTCCTTATTACCAGATTGCTCTTCGCTCGCTGGCGGTTCGAGTAGAGGCACTGGGATAGAGTAGATTGCGGCACTTTTCACCGGCACACGGAGGGTATCTGTGTTCTCAATTTCCAGGTCTTGCTTAAAACAAATTTGAGCATCAACTGTTCATCGAATGTTCCGTATAGCGCCGCGCTCGAGTGAGCCAAGATTGACCAAAAAGGTTGGCCGCTACGCGGGATGTCTGTGCCATTCCAGCGGTAGTCTGTGCCGTTCCAGCGGTAGCCTGTGAGAAATGCTTCCTCTAGTAGCCGCACCGTGGCACCGCTGTCTCGTTGCCTACTTGCAACGGTCGCCAACACAGTGACAACAGTGGGGTGTATCTTTCGATCGCCCGACCTCCAGCACGTGCCCCAAGCCTTCGGCCACGCCCTGGCCATGCGCAGGAGCTCGAGGCACACGAGATGCCATTGTCGAAGGTAGCAATCTTGCGCCAGAGGCGGGATAACCAAGACTCCTCCCCGACATTCTCACCTCGTCAGTGACCGCAACCAAGCGATACAACTGCGAGCTAATGCTTCCGGACGCTCTTCATACCTCGCTCCGACGAATTCGTCGCAGTTGGGCATCTGTCTCCAGCGGTGCACCGTCTCGAAGGGGCCGAAGTCCAGCATCAGACACTCGGCGCTCTCGGGCCAATTGTGGTCGAAGTCCAGACCCGGGGGTCTGGCAATCGCCATCTTGGCAGGTCACCTGAAGCATGACGGAAAGCAGACGTGTCACGATCAAGCTGGACGCAGTCATGGACGATGCCCACTGGCAGCTTAAGGAGGGACACTGGCTAGAGACGCTAGAGGCTAGAGAACTTCAGATGTAGGTCTACTGTGCAAAGTTTCAGCTCTCTAGGACAACTTTACATACCTGCATAAGAAGATGAGTCACTCTTCATTAAGAAATCTATGATATGCAAATGAAGCTATTAAGCACAATTTTGACTGCTTGAATATAAAGTGGGGGATGTGGGACTTTGGGCTATCTAGTTTTTATAACTCAAATGTAAATATTTCAGGAAGAGTGATTACCTCAAAATATGAGATGCAAATCTGTCCTATGTCAATTTTTGAAAACATAGCTTTTTTTTTTTATGAGGACTTTAAACTTAAAACAAAATAAAGTAGATAGCCCAATTCCCCAGTACATTTCATTTTAGAAACATCTTGATTGTGGTATTTGAATAATTTTACCTTCGAACAAAAGTTTCCTTCGTATGAAATTTGCAGCAAAAAGCGGAACTGAGAAAAATGCATTCAAACATTGAACTCCTTTACTTTGTTACTGCCCCACAATGTGTTGAAAATATTTTATATCAACGTAACCATTTCACGCATGGTTATGAAATTTAGAGTTAGGGTGTATAACTACTTTGTAAAACCGGAAACCTCAAAATTATAAAATGAATTTTTTCAAAAAATTTTGAAATTTAGGCCTATGTCCCCCCTTAAACGGCAACTCCGCTTCATTTTTGGTTTTGAAAAAAACAATTCAGTCCTCTTCAGTATCGCCTAGGAAGATTACACGTCAAATATTATGACGCAGTTCTGTCTAAATGTTTCTTAAACGGTCCGGCAAACTTTGCAACTCGCCAAGTTGCCGAAATCGGCTGACTCGAGCGGGCGAATTCAGGCGCAACCAACAGCGCAGTCAAGGCTACGGCATAGGCGGAGCCAACATTGAGCTAAACGTCATCATCATGGCCCCCTTTTGCTTGTTTTTACTTCTCCAATCGAGCGTAGCGCATGACGTCAGCAACGTTGCCTCTCGGCGCTCAGCAGTGTCCACGTGATTGGCGTACACGCCTGCACAGCGCGCTTCTTGGGAGCAGACCAACCGCCCACCGTGGTCCCGCCGTTACCGCCATCTTCCGCGTCACAACCACCGTTGTCGTCTCACCGTTTGTGATTATTGCCTCTCGGAGTTTCGTCCACACTATGGACACCACGTGCGCAGAGTCGCAGACTTATGCCGCAGTTGTGCAGACGTCGTCGAATGCCGTAGACACCAAAACGTGGCGAAGAGTGCGGTGCAGATGACACTCGCGCCTGCCGCACGCCCGGCCCCATCCCGCCTGTCGTTAGGCCGAGGATCACGTGACATCTCGTACCACGTGATGGCCATGTACTTGGCGGCCCGAGGCCAATGTTGCCGGACGGAGCTGTAGTTTCGGTTTCGATTTCCACTCGTGTTTAAAATTAGATTTAAAAATATATATCCCATTTTTCGCGAAGCAAACGACGTAGTGTCTTTTACTGGGGCTTTTTACTTCGAAATCACTCATTATCCCGAAATCTTCGGAATCGAGCGGAGTTGCCCTTTAAGAAATGCAGGGCATGGCTCATTACTAGAGCCCTGTGCGGATAACAGTTTTATTATCCGCATCCGCAGACTTTGTATCCGCATCTGAACTATACGCAAACTTATTACATTATTGTATCCGGGTCCGATCCGCATCCGCATAATTTGTATCCGTATCCGAACCGCATCTGCAAAATGTGGAACCAGATCCGACTCACAGTCCAGGCAATTGTATATCATAACATCAAACGAGAAGGAAAAAAAATTAATAAAAACAGCACTTTTTAAGCTGTTTGCTTATCTTTGTACAAAGAAATCTTCGGGTGGCCATTCAAAGGGTATGTCATTTTATCATTAGTTTCATCGTATTTATATTAAAAGCGATCAGCCTTCCCGAGACACTGCGAGTCGAAGGAAAAATTATCTCGGTTATGTGATCGTCCTAGGAGTCCGCGACACTCTGCCCAGAAGAAGTGCACAAAAAGGATGTCGAGGCACTTTGTTTGTTTTTGGAATCATGAATACACTACTCTTTGCAGAGAGGGGGATGTTTCTTCTACTTTCTTGTGACTTGTATGTTTGAGGTTTTCTTTGCCCAAAAAAGTTTCCGCTCTTTCTCGGGACGATTGATGCCCCGCAACCTTTACTTTTTCTATAGATATCATTTTTGACGAGAGGCACTGCACTAACTGAAGCGGTCTTTAGTGAGAATCAGATCTTTCTTAGGATCCCTATTGTTTCTACGAAACGCGTTTTGTGGAAATATGTTTCGTGGATAACTTTTCATGGACATACATTTCATGGACACACGGTTCGTCGACGCTGTAGGTTTTGTGGGCACATGCCGCTGCGACGTTTTGTTGAAAACGCATTTCTTCACTAAGCCGCTAAAAGCTAGCACGCGATTCACTAAGGCGAGCTTAACCAAACCATACCCCCCTCCCCACTGTAGTCCAGCGAGATGCAAAAAGTTTATTACAAAAATAGCAGGGTTGTGTGCGACGAAACGTCTCAGCTTTTCAATGAGACGGACACGAGAAGCCTTTAGATCAAACGTCGCATGTCGACAAAACAATCTGTAGATGAAACGTCAGTCAACGAACTGAATACCACCGGGCAAAAATTTAGAACCGGATCCGCGGATATCCGTATCCACAGCCCCTGACATCTGCATCCGATCCACAATCCGCCAAACTTGTCATATTTTTATCCGCATCCGCCCGTTTACTGCAAATATCTGCGGATATCCGCGGATATGCAGGGCTCTACTCATCACTTTCGCCATTTTTTGCTTCGCGATTTATTTTTTGCCGTTCTTATCATTCAGTGCCGTAATCTCATTGGCTGCGATCATAGGAGTGCGGGATTCGTTGCAGGTTTTTTAAGCTGCTAGTTACTTAGTAGTAGTAATCCTTATGCGGAGAGCAAGTCGTCTGTTTTTTGCACAAGGGTTCCGATTATGTCGAAACGCCGAGCTCTTATTGGCTGATTGAAAAAAATAGTGGGTAAACTTCGAGGCGTCTAGCATTGAGGTCTTCTACCCACTATCCTTTCAATCAAAGCTAATCAGTGTTCGGCGTCGTTTTGACGCCACCGCAACTCCTGCACAAGAAGCAGATGACTTGCTGTCCGCGTATGCTCAGCCGTGGCGCCGCAGAAAGGCAACAGCGGCCGTAGCATGGAGGTCAGCGGGCGCCGCGGCCACTGTGATTGTGAGGTGCATATGTACAAGATGATGATTAAGGAGGTACGTAGGGGTAGAACGACGCAGGCGAATGCCTTTATCCTGCCCGACCCTGTCCGAATTTGAGTTCGCTGACCTCCCGAATAAATATTTCTCATTTAAGTGACAGGAGGAGGTTTGTTTGAGTAGGCGCACGGCTAAAGACTTTGCGTACCTCGCGTACGTCCGCACGTCAACAAGATCGATCGTGCCTCAGACTAGCGAGAAAGTTCAGGTTAAGGTGTCGTGAAAGTGGCTACCCTACGAAAGAAATTTCATACTCGGGCACACTTACGCTTTGAGCGTGACGACACTTTGGCGAAGCGGTGCAGCTGTGTTCGGCCCAAGTGTTCAACAGGCAGTGTGGTTTTAGGGATGGTTTGCCCGCTCCAATGTCATCGTAGGCGCGGCAGGGCTTGGCGTCTAAGTAGAGATCATAACCGGGACACCAAAGCGAGAAGCCGTTTACCGCGACATGCTACTAAATGCTATCAATGCAGCATCTCGATCTCTGCTTCCGCAGAAGGCAACCTACTGCAGCATCCCGCACGACGCTCTTGAGAGTTTTTCCAGTTCGTTTATGTTGTTATTGATATTGATGAAACCGATGATGATGATAATGAGCCGAACCACAGCCAAGCCAAGCCCAGCCGAGACGAACTTTTGCCGATCCGAAATATCTTTATCACTGATATGCTCGAAGTCTATTTTTCAAATCATTTTGGCGATCATTATTTTGCTTTTAGCGAGTACTTTAAAAGTCTTACCGTCAATTGCTGATTGCGATACCAGAGAAGTGCCCATGGCACGCGAATTGGTAAACCCTGGTAAAGTTCGCAGCGCCAAGTGAATCCCCTGGTATCCGGAGGCTGTACGAAAATCAACAAGGCGGCACAGCGAAAACAAAAACGAAACCGCACTGAACCGCACTACGGCGCAATTGTACTTGGATGAATGAGCGGTAGCTTACGCCACCTAGAGTTTAAAATAACTATTAGCATCCTCGATCATCCGCACCGGTGCGCACCGGGGCACTGAGGTGCGCCCCTTCATCTTCGATCAAGTGCACCGGTGCGCACCGTACGTCCTCGATCAACGAAGCGCACCCTCCCGGTGCGGCTTTTCGTTGCCCCAACGTGCACCAAGAAAATCGGCGGTGCGCCGGGGGGCAGTCCCATCAGGCATTGCGGCCAGGAGCGGGAATCGAGAAGATGGCGGGAGTAGCAGACGCGCAGACTATCGAGATGGCGATCTTGCAAAAACGAACACGCCTTGCAGCTGCACTAGATGATTTCCTCGGGTCTTCTGACGGCGAGACGACGAGCTTCTCACCATCGCCGCGATTACTGGCGATTGTTGCGGTGGCAAGGAGCGCCCGAAAAGCACGAACTTCGTAGAAAGCGGCGCGAGGCGTTTACAGCGAGGTACGGCTATTATCTGGTGTTTCGTTTTCTTGAACTAATAATGATGGCCAACATATACATGTGGAATTGTCACCCGCTTCGTGACCCCATCGACAATCACGTCCACGATGTTTATTTCTGTGGGACCGTCAAATCCGCGAGTAAAAAAAATAAAAGAAATTGACAGCAGACGGGCACCGTGCGCTGACCTACGCAAAATAAACGAACAAAACGCGAAGTGACGCAAGATGGAGCTCGCCGCGGTGCACCGGCGCGGCGCAGTTTGTCCTCGATGTTGCACCGACATCGCGCTGCACGACCGAGGAGCGGTGTGCACTGTGCTGGTTTCAGGGTGATTCCGGTGCGAGTTGATCGAAGATGCTATATTGTAAATCTCTCTTTTTTTTTTTTTTTGCTTGTTTTGCGTGTTGTTTTGCTAGGTATCTGCTGCTTTGCGACTGGTTTTTGCGTTTCAATGCTGGTTAATGTGCGTTGAAACGCACACAAGACAGCACTGAAACGCGAGACCAGCCGCAAAGCAGCAAAAACCTAGCAAAGCAACAAAAGGGATACATACACAAAAAATATGCAATGCTTGTAATTCTTTTGAGTTAATTTTTATTCAACAGGCAGTAGAAAATACAGAAGAAATTTCTCACTATTTCTCACACAAGAATCAAAGAAATGAACAACAAAACAGGATAAAATGTTAAGGTTACGTGCGACGAAGGTGATGATATGCGTCCTCAATTGCAAAAGCACTTCGCTAGGTGTACATAAAATCTCTGTAGGATCGTGATCCTTTTTGAGCCGCTTGGCGTATACTCACAAGCCTTGCGCCGCCCGACCACAGGCGTGTAGCCTAGAAAAAAACAAAAAAACATTTACGTGCCTGACATAGTCACATGGAAACAGCGAACATATTTGTACCTCCTTTCAAAAAACGGAACTTCAAGTTCAATAGAAATGATCTGGGAAATTATAGGGCAATTTCCATCCTGCCAGTTTTTTCAAGGGTATTTGAAAAACTTTTGCACTCGAGACTTTCGGGATTTATTGATAAGTATAACTTGTTGACGCCACACCAATTCGGCTTTTGTAAAAACAAATCAAGTGAACTAGCATTACTTGAACAAAAAGAATATATACTCACACAATTCGAAAACAAAGCCATCGTTCTTGGTGCATTTGCAGATTTTTCAAAGGCTTTTGACTTAGTAAATCATGACATTTTGCTTGAAAAGCTGCACTGCTACGGTATCCGAGGACGGGTTTTATTGCTTCTAAAATCTTATTTATCTAATCGAAAACAGGTTGTCCAGATTAACAATATGCGCTCAAAGGCGCACCCAGTACTTTGTGGTGTGCCACAGGGCAGCATATTAGGGCCACTACTCTGCAACGTTTATCTTAACGATATTGTAAATATTAGCCCCACAGCCAAATTTATAGTATATGCGGATGAAACTAGCATATTTTTCTCTGGCCATGACATTCATGAACTTATAGATCAATGTAATAATACAATAAAAACACTCGAGAACTGGTCGGCAGCTAATGCTATGCAAGTAAATGAAAGAAAAAACAAAGGCGGTTATATTCAGACCCCAAAACAAGCCCGTTCCTACACATCCAGAAATCTTCCTTCATTCACGTCGTATAGAAGAGGTAGATAATTTCAGGTGTCTCGGTATCATATTTTCCGCCGACATGCTATGGGACGCTCATGTAAACTACTTGCTAACAAAAATTGCGCAAATTACTAACATAACTGGACGCATTTGATACCTCTTTCCCGCACAAGTTAAATTGCTTCTTTATAATTCACTGTTTTATTGTCAACTAGCGTGGGGGACAACTACATCTTCAAACCTACAGTGTATTCATTTATTACAAAAGAAAGTGTATCCACACGACGGACCAAATTGCTGTTTCGGTCCGCGGGCAGCGCATCACGTGATCTTACGTCACCGTTCTTTGAGGTCCGCCGGCGGTCCGCGGCCCGCGCTTCTGAGAAATGCCAAGCGACTTTCTCGCCCGCACCTTGGCGGCGGACCGCGGCGTTTTTAGTATAATTCAAGCGCTAAGTCTGGCAACAAGCTGACTTTTGTTGTTTGGATTGGAATCCAAAGCCAAAGTCGTTCTCTCTTGGCGCCAACTGTTGAAGACGAAGACGAACCTTATGTTGTAGGACGATGCAACTTTTTACTTCATCGCGCTCATGGAGCAATTCCCCGCTCTGTGGGACAATAGTCGCGACGACTACTCAAATAATCATCTAAAGATGTCCCCATGCCTCTTTCGGTTCACTTAAGTCCTCCTCGTCCTCAATAGTCAACGCCAAGGCCACCGTGGCCAAACTAGGGTGGCTAGCATAGCCAAACGTCTCTTTCGTTCAACCTCCATCTTAGCTCCTTACAAATAGCCTCAAAGCAGCTCGCTGCATGCCTTTGGCGGAGCTGTGGGGTCGAGGGTTAGACCGGCCCGTTCGCTCTGTCGTCTGCCCTTTTGGTCCGCCGTGTGGATGCTCATTGCAGCCGGGCGGCCCGCGGGCCGCGCATCATGTGATCAATCGGTCCGCGGCCCGGTCCGTCGTGTGGATACACCTTTATGGAACACCAAGTTCAATTTTCTTTCGTCGTTCTCGCGTTATCAGGACACACAACCTATACAGATATCGTTTGAGTGCTTGCTATAGACGCTTTGCAGCAGCTGTGCATGAACGCCGCCATAACTGACCTTCAGTTTTTGTTTCCTCTTATTCCGTTTATTTCACTTCATCATTACCATAGCAGGCCAGGTAATTGCCATATTAGATTCAACTGTGTCCTTTTCTAAGGCATCGGCCTTTGTAGAGTATCGTCAACTACCGTTTCAGTTGCTCGGCATCTCGGTAAGACAAGAGAAGGTCAGCAATGGCGGCTGTAATTTGGCGCGTGTGTAAAGCATCTATAGGTAGTTTTCACAGACGTCACATCGAGCGGTGCATGCTGGTTCAGTGGCCATCTTGTTGTGTATGTGCTGGCGTGCTGTTGCAACGCCGGCTGTTGTACTTGCAGTGTACTGGACTAGGCGTACGGCGTACCGCGGTCGTACTCGTTAATGCTCGCGCGTTGCTGTTCTTTTATTTTTGCTTCACTTGTTGGTTGTATCTTGTAACGCTATGGTAAACTGCGCGGTTGTCGGCTGCGGCAGTCGATCGCACACGAAATTTGAGAAACGTCAAAAAAACAAGCAAGATCTACGATTTTTTAATATTCCGAAAGTTAGGAAAAACGAATGCGACAAGACCCGCGAACTTTCGGAAAGGCGACGCTCCGAATGGATTTCGAGGATCCGAAAGGCGGACATGGACGTCACGTGAAGAACGCCGATAAGTACAAAGTGTGCTCCAAGCATTTCATCACAGGTGAGTAGAAGCGGCCACCGAGTGCTGCATTTGTTTACTCGAGCTCACGCGCACGTCGCTGCTTCGCGAGGACGTGGTCGGTGGCCGCTCGCTGCAAACTCTCCGAGCACATTCGGGGCGCGAAGGCACGCGCTCCCCCCCCTGACGAAGCTGAAAAACTCGGGAGATCGTTTAGCCCCGCTACCTGATGAAAGCGAGCTGCCATCGAATTCCTCAAACTTGGAAAGTTGCTTTGTGTAGATATTTGTGATTCACAACTGGGACAGTAACGTTTTTCTTCTTTGCCTCAGGATCACCTGCGGCGTTGTTTGACAGCAACAACCCAGACTGGGCGCCGTCCCTGTCTTTGGGATACGAAAGACGAGGTGGCGATCTTGGCAGCGCTCGCTACGAGCGCCAGAAAGCGCGAAGGATAGCTGGACCTCAGCCCCCAACAAGCAGTAAGTTGAAGGGAATTCACATTGAAGGGAAAACGTCAACCTGCCCTTTTTACAGGGGCCCTGGATACAGCCGCAAGTGAGATTAGCGCTTCTTCATCTTTGCCAAGTACATCGCTGCAAGCAAGCACTACAGCTGGTACGTTTATGTTCATTAATTTGTAGCAACAACAATCTAAAACAAAGGTTCTGTTTTCACAGGCATCTCGGATGAAGCACCAGATGAGCGGGACACTCCACCAGCTTCTGCACATACCTTGGTGAAGGATACAACTACTGCAGGAGTTCAGTGGAATCACCGAATTTGTCTAAACTCTGATTAATTTGTTTCAGAGTTTGGCTGTCAGACGGAGACGACCGCAGGAA